GTGTGGCAGGGTATTTATTTAAACTGTAGCCTTAACTTTTTAAGCTGTGTTGAGTACTGGGTATATTTTAGTGATTGAGTGGGATCTATAGTTTATATTTGTATTTCAATATGGGGTTGGGGCTAAGCTAATTTGCTCATCAGCAGAACAGAACTTTTCTGTTTTTCCCTTGCACTGCAGCTTACTGATCTCCATTAATGCTTCTTCTGGGGGGTAGGAGATCCTGAGGAAGGGAAGGGAGAAATCTGCAGGTGGAAGGGAGAATTGGTGGAAATTGCCATTTAAGTGTGGATCTAACCCCTGATGTCCCCTTTATGCGAACACCTTTTAGTGGTGGAATTGCTTCACCAATAGGCTGTCAGATATCTTGTACTGTAGGCTTATGCTAGTATTTGACAACACGATGGCATATTAGAACTGCATCACTTTGTCCTGCCCCTTCCTAGTGGACATAAGGGCCTTGCACACAGAGCCTACCATGTTGTTACGCAAACGGCTAGTCAACAGCCAGATGTTGGGTGGGGGTAGGCATGCTGAGGGTCTGTGTGTGAACCAGCATAACCCTGTTCCCCACCACTGTATATCTGAAGCATCAGTGAAGCAATGGTATAATCACTCATGGTTCATGACTGAGGAGGCGTAATATATTATATTTCCTTTCCCCCCACACAGTTACCACCACCCTATGAACAGGCCTTGAGGTATCCTGCAGCTTCATCAGGAACCGGAGCAGGTTCAGAGTTGTCAGCCAGACAGAGCTTGCCCGACATGCTCCAAGCCTCACCTACGTTCCAGCCTCACAGAAACACCTCAGTATAGGCTGGGTCGGTCCCCTAAACTGCCTCTGGGACAACACCAAGTGTTTGCTAAATGGGTTTCCGGTCCACAAGGCACTCTGCCAATCCCTTTTCCCAGTGCAACAGTAGCTGAAAGGAAGCACTCTAGAACATTCCGGACAAAGCCAGCCAAGTTCTTTGACTAGCACTGAGAATGAACAATGGAAGATCTCTCTGGAACCAAGCCTGAAAATAGCTGTGTAATGGAAGAAATGACCTGAAGAATAGAATCTCTTATTCTTGAGGTATGAGCGGATGGGGAAACCTCTATCTGGAATGGTCTAGATCCAGGGAACCCTGCCACCCAGTATAGATGACCGGACCTTAAGGATGTTTTTTCTTGCCCTAGAAACAAATAAGCCAAGCTCCTGTGGGACTGATATATTGAATGAAGCCAGTCAGAAGATGTCATTTTAAAGGGAGAGAACAAAGTTTCCTAACCAAAGAACATCCTTGGAGGACGTCTGTGAGACAAAGAGGAACCTCTAGGAGACCCCAAGAACTGCCAAACCTTCAAAGTACTAAACCTCAAAAGGATAGCCATCTACATTGTCTTTTTGGTTGTCTTGGAACTCTTGATAAGTGACTGGGGCTTTGAGTGACGGAATGAGTGTATCTTGCCCTCCAACCATCTCAATCAACCCAGCCCTACCCCCTGGACAAGTTCCACTGGGACTCTCCTCCACTTCCTACCTCCCCAATGCTGCAGGGCAGTTTTGCAAGTCCAAACAAGATAGAAGGTTCAACAATGGGTAGGATCTGCATCCTGTGCAGCAGACTCTTCTGCAGTAGGCATTTGTGACAGGTGGGCAAACAGAGTTAACAGCCCAAGTTTTAGACCATGCCCTATAGCTAAGAAATGGTTATGTGAAAAGACAAGAGGTCTCCTCCCCTGGGGGGGGGGGGGAGAGGTGGTAACAGACTTCTTTGTTGACCCTGTCAAAATGTTTGTCCATTGGAACTCAGACAATCTTGTAAAGTTTAACTCTGATTTTTGTTATTTGGGGTCTTTTTTATATTTGACAAATAAGCTTTTAAAACATCCTTCCCAATGCCATAGTTTAAACTACAACAGTCTGATGAGGAAATGTGTGGAACTTCTGCCTCTGGTCCAATGAGTCATCTAAGAGATGGGGGGTATCAAGACTGTGAGGGTTTCTGACCTACCTGTGGAATGGCAGTCAGATGACATCAGGGCTGATGAAGTCAGCAGCACCCTGAATCTTACCCAGGCTGATTTGACTTGCTAGGAGGCCTCAACCTATGAAGTCCTTGGAGACATTTGACTCCGGGACACATTCTCCTCTTGCTCCTCCAGCAAATGCTTCCTTTCTCCTCTTTAACGACAGTTTTGCAATTTGTCAGATCTGTTCTGCCCAGTTAAAGGATTTCCCTTAACTCCACATTTGCTGAGGGTTCATGTACTCTGAGGCAAATAGCTTTAACTGTGTTGGAGCCAGCAAACTTAACCCCGACTAAAAGGTAGAAGATGGAATCTGCTAATAGGAGAGAAAAGGCTCTGCAGCTATGTTTCTGAGGTTGGCTATAATGATGTTGGACCTCTAGTGAAAGAAATGCTTGTCTAGCAGGACTTGGTATGCCACACATCCACTTACACTAACTCATGCAAGCATGTACACCACCATCATTGTGCATGAAAACCAACCTATTACATTGTCTATGCACACAGATACATCCATACATCATCTTTATCAAAAAATTAAAGTTTTTGAATCAGTTGAGTGTCATGACTACAGACAACGGTATGGATCCAACCATTCCATACACGGAATGCAGAGTTTTCCTGTGTGCCTCTTTATCCCTGCAGCCCCTTCCAACCCCTGTGGACTGGAAGGCTGGAGTAAGGACAAGGAAGTGAAAACACTCTCTCTCTCCTCTCGCGTAGCTCCACTGGAGAAAGAGGTTGATTTCATCCCCTTGTCCATCCTCACTCCAACCCAGCAACCCTCAGTGTGTTCCTCCACCTGGACCACACAGCCTTAGGAATGATCTTTCTGGGGGCCAGGAGGGGCTGCAGGAACACAGAGCATCACAGGAAACTCAGATGTGGAGGGTTGCATGCATGGATGGCTGGACAGATCAAAATGCATGGAACCAACAAGAGTGATCCAAAAGATAACACTGGGCTTGTGTTACTCCAAGACAGAAGCAGGATTGTCCATGGGCAGAGAATCTATTGCCTATGGCAGAGAATCAAGTCTGCACTCCTGTCTGTTTCCAGGTGCTGCTGACTCCCTCAATAGACTACAGCAAATATTCTCGGTCTCAGCCTCTGTAAATGGGACCAACTTCTACACTGCCACCTCCCAGCACCTCTTCTCTTAGCTCACCCAGTTCTTCCTCCTCCCTCCTGGCCACACAACCTGCCTGTGAGAGAGTCTTGACCCATCTATGGGTCAAGACTCTCAGTCTGACTACCACTGAAGTGGAGGCAAAACTACAAGTCACTGGGGCTGCACATTTACTAGCTGGTACCAGAGCTACGTGCAGGATTTGATTTGTGGTTTTGGTTTATCAAAGAAGTTGGCTGCCACTGCTGAAGAACTAATGAGCCCACAAAATTGGCAGGTCAGCCTAGGTTAACAGAGGCCCTATGTAGCCTGTGAACACCACAGATATTGTCACATTTGCAATCAGAGTGAAGTACTTAAATTTTGAAAATATTCTATCCTACATAGTTTATTCCATTTTCAAAATTGGGGTTCCTGACTACAAGAATGTGAGAAATCGTAGTGTAATGGAATCTAGACTAACTTGTAAGAATACAGCTGGGGATGAAATCTGGGTTTTCTAAGGGTGGTCTGGGATGGTGCACACAAATTTTTCAAAAGGCCCCCAGGCTCCTAGCACAAGATAGCTTGCTATACACCCCACAATGCCTTAACACTGTGGATGTCAGTCAGGCAGTGTAAAGTGGCTCTGCACTTTCTGCTAAACTGCCTCTCTAGCCAATGAATTAGTTTACTGAGCACACAATTGACATCAACATTGCAAAGGCTGGTTTTACCCATTACACAAAAGCGGCACTTCTCACTATGGGTGCATTCTATGCCCACCTTCTTTCACACATGGAAATAAATTCATGCCTGCATTTTCAGATGAGCAGGTAGCTTTGCAAAATAACTCCGAGCAACAAATAACTCTTGGTGTCCAAAATCACTCTGAGGTTCAAAGACTTCATTCCCCCACCCCACTAAGTGCTCTCATTATTGCAGTAACCTTCAGCATCCACCCAAAGAACAAAGGGATGTAAGACACTCTCCTTAAATGGCTCCCCACAAGGGAGAGATGATAACCCCTTATGGTTCTGAAAACTTGTGTTGACATGGTTTATTTCGCTGACAGTGCAACAGTGACCTCCAGAATATATGCTAATTTATTACTACATGAATACATTGCTGAAATGTTGCCTCGTTCTCTAGCTTCAGCCAACCAGTGGTCACTAGAGCCGAACAAGAGCCACTTGTTCACGAATGCAGCCTTGCAGAATCATCTTCAGTGGGGCGCAGGTCCATCCGAGTATCCTTGGCTGTGAGTGTCAGAGCATGTTGACCAACTTGAAGCTCCCAACCTCAACAGTGGGGACCACGTTGATAAAAGTTTTATACAGCACGGCTCCTTTGGGTAGCTGAGGGATCACCTCCTTGCTCTCCTTGCTTCGGGGACGTGGCACATAAACTTCCTTGGTGTAGTGCACAATCCCATCTTCTAGCGCAAACAGCCACTTGTTGCGGCCCATCCCTACCTGATACAGGTGAACAAGATGAGAATGAGAAAGGGTGGCTTCTGGACCAGCATGCACACAACAACTGACACAGCAAGGAGAAGGGCAAGGAGGAGGAGGACAAGGAGCTGTTCCAGTTGGCAGCAGTGGATAGGACCCGAAGCAACGGGTTTAAATTACATGCAGAAAGGTATCGGCTGGATATCAGGAAAAACTTTTTCATGGTCAGAGTAGTTCACAGGTGGAATCAGCTGCCTAGGGAGGTGGTAAGCTCCCCTTCACTGACAGCTTTCAAGAAGAGGCTGGACAAATATTTGTCAGAGATGCTTTAGTCTGGTCCTGCATTGGGCAGGGGGTTGGACTAGATGGTCTGTATGGCCCCTTCCAACTCTATGATTCTGTACTGTATGTCATGCTTATGGTTTGCCATGCACACAGGCAACAGGCAACTAAAGTCATGGCTACTTCCCCATGAGAAAGTTAGCTTTCATAATAATGAGATGTTTTGCTGCACAGACATCCTTCAGGTAAAAAGCGATAGCCTGTGCGCCAAGTCTTTGACTGTCAGATAAGATCACACTAGCACAAGACTATTTTTAACCTGGCATCTGCCCTCTATTGTTCACATTTCTCGACAAACATCTCCCAGCCTTTGCATAGATAACATTATGAACCCATCAAGTTTTCTACAGTAACCCAGTTCTAGTACAGAAGCTCAGTCCCAACCAACAATTAAATGTCTGATCTCCTTGGACTGTGTCGGGGGAACTAAAAGAATAAACGGGATGTCTTATGGCACCCAAGCTTTCACGGACTGCAGCTCACTGTGTGCAGTGGGCATCTGATGAAGGGGGCTCTAGGGCACAGAACCTTTTGCTAGAAATAACAACCAGTTGGTCTTTAATGTGCCACAAGACTCCTTTTTTCGGTTTTGTTGCAACAGACTAACAAGGCTACCTCTCTGGAATTGACACTTGCCGCATCAACAGAGTCTTGCCTAAGAGGGAATCTGGGTTTGGTTTGATTTACAACTCTCTGTGTTACACAGTTTTACTTAGGTACTTCCTGGCATGGTTCAGATGCTCTGTGAGAGCAAGCATTTCTGCTTAGTAAGAAGTGACATTAATTTTTAAAAAGACTGGAATTTGTGCTACGTAACAGCATAAAGCAAAACTCCCTTTTAAGCACACTTTGGCTCCCCAGTTATCAAAATTAGTCTGTACTGTACTGTGAAGCATTTGATCACATTTTTGTTGCCCCACATCAATACAACACAGCAATGACCCAGTCTATTCGAGATTTGTGACTGTACAATGTTTTCAACCTATCTACATCACTCACATGAACCATGCCTACATCCAAATACATGAGATTGGATCCTGCCAATCAAATTTAAGAAGCAGGTGATTTTAGCTAACTCCCCCCACCCAGGCAAACTTCCAATACCCCATCAGGCTGTTTTCTGGGATTCCCCTGTCCTTCATGAACAGCATCTGGTGGGGGTCACTGTAGAGGGAGGGGGGAGGCGAGAAAGCTGCACTCTGCAAGGGGAAATCCTTCCAAACGCAGAGATTTTTGGTGATATGCAAGCCATGGATACAACGAGGCTCAAATTTCTTATTAAGGCAAAGCAACCAAGATTCAGCACAAGGCAAATGAGGACACACAAGGTTGGCCCTACTGTTGGGTGAGAGAAAGGATCCTGGACAGGGAAAAAAAGGTTTCAAGTATTGGGTTGGCAAGAAGAATCTAGATGAATTCTGCCCCCCAAAGACATTTGGAAAAATACTGGCAGTCTTTTCAGGATAATGCCCAACAATATCCAGGAAACCAAAGTTCTGATAAAGATGGAGCAAGCAGAGTCTCAATTAACTACTCATGGGAAATGCTTACATGAGCCCCTGGGTGCCAACGCATCACTCGCTGAGTTGCCAGTATGTTGCCTGAGTGAACAAAGTTGCCTGCAAGTGAGTCAGATGAAATTATAATTAGAAATAAAAATGAACCTTCTTTCACCTGTACATGCAAGCTGAATAGGAACTGTTTTCTAAACCAAAAACTTGACCTTCTACAGCATTCTTCCTTAGGAAGAAACACCCTATGGATGATTGAAGATGATCTGAATTAAGAAATAGATTATTTGTAATTTCTACAGAGAAAAATCTGGGCCTGAAGCTTTGGAAATCCTTATTTATGATCTCAAATGTGTAGGCTGAGCTGGACATGGCTCGACAGTGATGAGGGAAAAGCATTCTGCACATGCTCATAAGTACTTTCTTCTCTGATTCCAAGACCAAGTCCTTGCTGAAATTCTAGTTTTCCTAGCATATGGTCTAATTCTTTGCATGTTCTCCAATGTGGTTAAGGATGTAGTACCTCACGTTTCTCATCGGAAAAGAGAAAATGCTCAGTTTGGATTACCTAGAATCCAGAATACATCAATTCAGCACACTTCCCCCCCCCCCAATTTGTATGACACCATCAGTGTTCATGGTGCTTTCTAAAATCCCACAAACATGGTTAATAGCACAGCAAATGCCACATGTCTCTTCAAGTTGCTCCCTGCTGCAAATTACACCCCAAGAAAGGCCAAGATTGAGGCACACATATTTTAATTAGCTGTACTTCGAAGGTGTAAGAATCCCCTAGTTGGCTAACTTGCTGCTGCCACCTGGTGGCCAGTATCACAACAGACACTCGTAAAGGGAAGTCTTGAAAACTCCTTGTATTCTCTAAACCAGGGGTGGCCAAACTGCAGCTCGGGAGCCACCTGTGGCTCTTTCACACAGTCTAATTTAATGTTAATAAAAAGCAAATGTGCATATTTTTCAAAAAAAACGTGTGTGTAATATTTGTTCATATCTTGTGGCTCTCAAACATCTAACGTTTATTCTATGTGGCTCTTACGTTAAACAAGTTTGGCCTAAGCAGCTGCAAAAAAGCCAAGTGATTTACCTTCCAGTTTTTTAACGCCATAATGTTTTCCAGGACTTTTCCCACCACGGTTCTTCGAGCTGCCTCCACTTTTCTTTGATGCAAACCTCACTGCAGCTGCAGTAGTAGAAGAAATAAGTAGAACTGTGACCAAAAAGAAGAGAAACAGACAAAAAAGAATTCAGAAACTGACATCATTATTTAGACCAACAAAAAGCTCATTCAGGCCAAACCCTTAACACTAAAGATAAGTTTATAATATCCTTCAAAAGCCTAATTAGTCCGTGCAGGGGGGAGGGGAGCAGTCCCCATTTGAAGTCTCAGACCAACTATGAGTTTACATGCATCTATTTATTTATATCCTGATTTCCTCCCCAGTCAGGACTCGAAGCAACTTTAGAACATCATTCTCTCCTCCTCCATATTCCCACAACAACCCTGTGAGATAGTCCAGGCTGAGAGTTTGTGACAGGCTCAAGGTCACCCAGCAAGCTTCTATGTGGTGATTAAAATCCGAGCCACCCAGGATCTTAGTCTGCCACTCTACTACACCACACTGACTCTTCAGTTTAGACAGAGTTTAGAGAAAGAGAGACTTGTTTTAGAGATGTAAAATTTCCGGAAATTTTGAAGCTCGGAAAAAAACGGAAATTTTCGGAAAAATTGAAAAAATGCTACATTAGCATTTCTTTTGTCTTTTCTAGTTTGAAAGTCATTCTGTTACTTTAGGAACATAAAATATGACTATGGACATTTTTACTTGGCATGAAATTATCACAACTAGCATATTAAAAATATAGTGTATCCAAACAATTGTTACAGAATACCCACCCACATGCAAAAACAAAACTGAAACTTTTTTATTTTCTTCTGACAATCGCACCTCCTAAAGGAAGAAATGCATCTTGTTCTTGCATTGGAGAGTTCAATTTGTAACCTAGGACTTGCTTGTCCTCCATGCACAGAAATTACATCAATCTGATACCATATATATATATATTAGAAACGATTTGGAAAATATTTGAACACCTGGTCTTAAAATATTTTATTCCTCATGTTAAAATAAAACGTTCCATAATCAATTTTTTTCTTTTCCTTTCTTTTTTCAATTTTTCGGAAAAAAAACGAAAAAGGTTTCAGGGAAAAAACGGGTTTTTTCCAAATTTTTCCGGGTTTTTTCTGGGCCTTCACATCTGTATTCCTGGTACCATGATGCTATAGCACAATTTGTCACTGGACACAAACTAACTTATGGTATATTACAAATAACTTACTGAATCACCATTTAAAGCCCATCATTTCTGCTTCATCCCAGGAGCCTCTTGGGCACTGTAAAATGTGATTTGCACCCAGCATTTTATCCTGCAACTCCTCTCTGGTCTCCATTTTGAGAAAACTACAAACTGCAAATTTCTGGGATCTGTCCACATGAACTGAAATCTTTTTCTATCTCCTCCCCAGCCCTCAAGATATGAAAACCAAGTGGAAAAATGGGGAAAAAAACAGGATATTTCCCCCCCCCCCCGGACATTATTTCCAGATGTGTACTATGAAGATTTTTATATAAAATAATCAACAGTGTAATGGTAAATACTGTGTATTCTGCAGATATATACAACATGTTTTAAAGAATACGTTTATTGTTTAAATGTAATTTGGTCCACATTTTACTGTAGTGTTTATGATGGGAAAACATTATTGAAGAGTTCAAAGTTATAAAGTTTAACTTGATATCCCAATTTGTTTACTGTTTCAACTTTTACTTTTCCTCTAATTCTCAAAAGCCCAAAACGAACATACGTGTACTTAAGGTATCACAGGGTTTGCCGTTCAAGTCACAATTTTGCTTGCAGATAATTATGGCTCCACTCCCAAAGTTACTTCCCTGGAAGTAAGCCCCATTACACAATATGTGGCTTATTTCTGAGTAGATCTGTTTTGGATGGCTCTCTAAGGCCTCTGTACTTTTAAGTTTCACAAATACACCAAATAGTACAATTGCATATACTAATTAAGTTATAAATAACCGATTTTATATATTTAAAACAGTAATGTTCAGTTTAGGCTTGATTTTAAAAAGTAATGATTGCATATATTTGAATTTCCCCCAAAATGTGGGTTTTCCTCCTAAACAAAAGGGTTTCTAGCGTCAGAATTCTCCAGAAGTTTACATCTCTATCACTGTTCTGCTTTTGTACTTAACAACCAGCCCCGAGGAACAACTCAAAACTTTGCACTCACTATATTATGATATTTAGGCTGGTTCTAATAAAAAGGCATTATACTAGTGTTTTTTATTAATTTTTCCCTATGGATCAAAATGCCTCGCCACAATTTTATCTTAAGACTGTCACATAGGCATGGCTTCCACAAAGCCCCTGAAGAGCAGCCTCCCCCCCCCCTTCTCCTTTTTATCAGCATTCAGGCCAAGGAAAAGTTCTCTAGAACTCAAATTCTAACTTGACTCTTAGCCAATGCTCCCTCTAAACTGTAGAGTCTTGTGAGCAAAAATTCTACTTTGTGAGCTGCTGGCCTTAAAGTTGTGAGCGAGCAATTTGGGTGCTGCATACATTAGTTTGCTCTGGAGCCATCCTTCCTGAACTAAGGCAAAAATGTGTGAGCCACAGGCTAAAAAACTGTGAGCTAGCTCACATTAACTCAGCTTAGAGGGAACACTGCTCTTAGCTGATTTTAATAAAAGTATTATGTTAATGCTGGTGTTTGGATATTTTCCTAATGGACTAATACAGCTGCTTGCATTTTTTTGCTTAAATGGTTAATATTTACTAATTTTTGGATTAAAAATTGGCTGCTTCACAAAACGTTTCTCACATAAACACACACTCTTGATAAATGCGCACGTCATTTCCAATAAGGAACACCAAGACGCCTTTGACCTTTACTTTGTGGGACTTCAGTTAATTCTTTTGCATACAATCAGCAGCCAGGTCCATTTCAGCTCTAAACCTTTCTGCTCAGCCCTTTTAACGAGCACATTATTAAAAGAACACTACAGCTCTACTAATTTCCTCAGGCAAATTAAACACAGGATTAATTTGGTCTTAAATTTTCCACGTGCACACAGGGAGTCACATTAAAGGATTAGGGAGGAGGGCAATAGTGAACAAAGAAACACAAATTTGAAATGTGAAGGACAAGAAAGGGACAATAACCTAGAGAAACTGCAGTGCAGAGGGCATGACTCCTGCCCAACAGTATTTTAAGGTCTATTCACACATTTGTATGTGTTCTGAATGTCCACCCCATGTCCTTAAACACATCGGTGTGGATCCAGCAGAGCATTTCCACAGATGGAATTGTTTCTACCCACAGAGCACAACTCCCCCACCCCCGCAGCCCAAAATGCCACCTTAAATCCTTCTGCCCACAGAAACGCTCACTTGGATCCATGCTCTTATCTCCATACACTGATGCAGAGTTTACAGCAAGGTGTCTGCAATCACTCCAGCATTCCTGTGCTGAATAGGTAGCACCTCCAGTACAGTTCTGAGTGGTAAATATTTCCCAATGTATAGGTGGTAGAAAAAGTGCAGTTATCACATCCTTTGCAGTGGGGTAGTGGGATCATGCTTATCTGGCCATTTTACGGTATGCCTTTTCTCCCTGCATACATGGCCATGACCAGTGTTCCCTCTAAGCTGAGTTAGTGTGAGCTAGCTCAGAGTTTTTTAGTCTCTGGCTCACATGTTTTTGTCCTGGCTCAGGAAGGATGGCTCCAGAGCAAACTAATTCATACGGCAGCCAGATCACTCGCTCACAACTTTAATGCCAGTAGCTCACAAAGGAGAATTTTTGCTCACAAGACTCCACAGCTTAGAGGGAACATTGGCCATGACAAGCATAATCCTGCTGTTCCAGTATAGTGAATTTAAACATAAACGTGTATGTACATCTGAACAGGCCCTCTGCCATTTGTGAATTTAAAAAAATCTTCTGTGCCAATGCTATCAACCTCTCATAGAGGCCTAGAGTTGGAAGGATCGATATAAAGGCCAGCTAGTCCAACTTCCTATGCATTGCAGGAAATCCAAAGAGCTATAACCTTCTTATTAGATGGCTGTCCAGTCTCCGCTTGAAGACCTCAAGTGAATGTCAAAATCGGGTCTGGTTTGCCATGGGGTTCTTAATTTTCTTTGGGTCTGTATGCCTATTGTCGTGTGTCATTTTGGTTGGGAGGGGAGAGTCTGTGAGCATGGGAGTGTGGAGACTGCTTTGCTAACTGCATTAAGTGGGGCCTCCCTTCTCTGGGAAGAATGCGTGCTTGACCTTGGACACCAGACACTGTTAGATACTAAGCTTGCAGGTGCTGGGGGAGGGGTAATAGTGCACAGTAGAGTTTGGCAGGCTGGATGTATTGGTATGATTGTACTGGTCACCGGGGGGGGGGGGGGGGGTTTTTAAAAAAAGCCCCCCCCCCCCCCCTTTTGAAGGCAAAAAAAAGGCCCCATCTGCCCTCCCCCCCCCCCCCCCCCCACTCTCTGATTGGTCAGCTGCAGAGCTCAGTGTTCTGAGGTTAAAAAAAACCAACAGTTACAGGGGACTGCAGAGAGCTAGTGACAGTTGAGGAAATCAGGAGTGGCCAAGAACTACCTGTGAGGTGAAGCAAAGCTGCTGGCCCAGCCTCTCTGATGGCTTCCAACACACTCCCCCCACCTCTTACACCTTGTCTATCAGGTGCATCAGTGGTTGCAGGGTGCTTAAAGCCGGGAGCAGCTTCAAACTCACTCGCTCCTTCCCAAACAAAGTTCCCAGCTCTGCCTGTGTTCGGCAGGTTTTTTTGCTCGTTTGACAGCTGGAAAAGACCAAAATAAAAGCTAGCGCCTGTTTGCACAAGCGCATAACTAAAACCGGAAACAAAACCCCCTACAAAAAACGGGGGGGGGAGGGTAGCGTGGTCACGGCGGATTGCTGTCCAGATACCAAAACCGCGGATACAAAGTGCGAGATGTCGGAAAACACCTGCTCCAACGGGTGTCAAAAAAACGCGGGTGAAAGAGCTGAAACCGCGGGAATCTGCTGGCTTCGGAGCGGGAAGCGGGTTTGCCTATATAGACAGGAACCTTTACTGCGGGAGAGATCAGCTGCGAGTCCCGCACTAAACGTCCGTGTGACCAGACCCTAAAATTGCATTTGGTTATTTTGCAGCAGCATCACTCAGATGACTCATGTGAATCTCATGATAAAATCACTAAGGTTGGCTTAAAGCTTCATACTGGTAGGCTGGTATCTGCATATATTTCAAACTCTGCTACCAGGAGCCTAGAGCGAATCCCCATACATGACATTCATTCTACAGACCATGTGCTGTTTCTTTTGTGACTAGCAATACATATATTTTCTCTTGATCCTTTTGGGGGAGTTGTGGTAGTGGTATTGAGGACTTGCTTTGTCTATCTTATAGCAGCTGGCCATATTATTCATTTTGCCAGAATCAAGAACTTTTTATCTCTGCTGAATTTCATTTTGTTAACTGTTAGGAATGCAACCCTAATTCACTATCAAATGCTCAATTCCACAAGTACAAAAAGAATGCATTAGCTGAGGATGTGCTGGATTTCATCCCAAATGTTGCTTCCTGAAGAAGGGCCAGGCAGTAGCCATAGAAGATGCAGAAGGTCAACAAAAACCCTAGGAATGAGGTAGGTTGTTCCTGAATTGAATCCCACGACATCTAGCATTGCCAGATTTTAAGTAGTACAGTGCTTCTGTGGCTTTAAAGTTATGCATGTAAGCAAATTTTGGCACTTTTATCTCCTGGTTCCCAGCACTATACAGAATAAAAACTGCACTGGTGAAAAGTCTCCTTTCTGTGTATATTAAGGGCAAACAAATCTAGTCTCATAATGGATCTAATAAAACTATGCCCAGACTGCACAGATCCAGTGGTGTACAATGATGGTGCTACGTTTTGGGGTCTTTTGGCCGTTCTCTCCACCAGATACTGGGAGGCACGTACCACTCTGCTGCTGGTGAGAGTATAAGGGTTGCAAATGTTAATATTCAGCCATATGCTTCCCATGTCCCAAGGTACATAAGCCCAGGGTATGGCTTGAAGCAGAGCTTTTAAAAAAGAAGATATTGGATTTATACCCCACCTTTCACTCAGAGTCTCAGAGCAGTTTACAATCTCCTTCCCTTTCTCTCCCCAGAACAGACACCCTGTAATGTAGCTGGGGCTAAGAGAGCTCTGAGAGAACTGCTCTTGAGAGAACAGCTCTGAGAGAACTGTGACTGACCGAAGTTCACCCAGTTAGCTGCATGTGGAGGAGTGGGGAATCAAACCTGGTTCTCCAGATTAGAGTCCGCCGCTCTTAACCACTACACCAAACAATAACCAAGCACCGAATATTCAGTTGGGGGGGGGGGAGCAGTTCTATAAGAAAACGAGTGCAACTGAAAAACTGAAGTAGTACTCCTCCCTAGAACCTCAGATGCTGATCTACACATACCCCACCCTCACACCACAGACATTTGCTACAGAATTAACTGCTACCCTCCCAAATGTTTCAAAGATGAAGGAAATCATTCTGGAATCTGGGGACCTTTTTCTTGACCAGTAAGAGTGAAAATACCAGAAAATATCCAACGTGTCATTCTTAACAAAGGACCAAAGTTTCTGCTGAAAAGCTACATGAAACATCACATCACAGTACACAGTTTGGTCCTCAATGGGAAAGAAATCCTTCTTGAACTTCTTTAAAGACTCTACCAAATGCAACCAGGCACTCCACACAGGCCTCTCAATGTCATGGGATGTGAGTTTAAGCAACAAAGTCCACACATACACAAGTAAAATACACAGGTGCGTTGTAGCAGCATGTACTATGCATGCAAATTATAATCCCATACCTCCTGTGCAACTCCATATTTTACAAAAACAAAAACCCACACCCTAGGCTGGACAGCACACAGCCAAGCAATCTTGCCAAACCTAAGTAGATCTGGTTCCAATCAATGCCTGCAATGGAGAGCTGTAAGTAACTTTATGATTGCAGCTTTGACTTCCAAGATCAAAGAAAGCTGTAATATCAAGGCAAGTAATAACTAACATAAAAATCAGCTGCCAATCTTTTTTTTGTGTGAGGCTGATACAACAAAACAGAGAGGAAGGGGGGAAAGAAGTGCAATATTTCAGGTCAGGAACTTAAGGCTTGAAACATGGACAAGTTGTGCTTTAAAAACCCTGAGAATTTGCAGTCAGAACACCCTTCTGATGGATGCTTCCTCTAAGCTGTGGAGTCTTGTGAGCAAAAATTCTATTCTGTGAGCTACTGGCATTAAAGTTGTGAGCAAGCGATTTGGCTAGTACATAAATTAGTTTGCTGTGGAGCCATCCTTCCTGAGCTAAGACAAAAAATGTGTGAGCTGGAGGCGAAAAAACTGTGAGCTCAGCTTACAGGGAACACTGGTTGTTGGGTAAGACAGCGACTCCAATCTTTTAAAACCATACTACCATAGTCATAAATCCCATAGTAAAAAATTAAGGTTTTAAGAGCCATGTGCAGAATTAGCACTGCCTAACTAGAGAAGTTAGTCTCTAGTTTCAGCTCCTGCCAACCTAGCAATTTGAAAGCAAGAAATTGCAAGTAGATAAATAGAGACCGCTTCGGTGGGAAGGTAACAGTGTTCCGTGGCGCCTTGGTGTTTAGTCATGCCGGCCACATGACCACGGAAACGTCTTCGGACAGCGCTGGCTCTTCGGCTTTGAAACGGAGATGAGCACCGCAATCCTAGAGTTGGATTCGACTGGCTTTCGAGCAAGGGAACCTTTACGTTTACCTTTTAACTAGAGAAGTGCCCACTTCTGCATAGGATCGGCCTCTGCTTGACTACCATCCCCATGCACCCTTGTTTGGGAGGTAGTCCTACTGAATTCACTCAGTAGGGTTTACTTTTGCGCAAACATCCATGGGAGCAAGCTCTTAGTCACTGTAGCCGCTGAGTCCGCAAAAGGGGCCGTAGCCATCCAGGGCGAGTTAACGTGGGTTAGGCTGTCGCACGGGTCTTCAACCCTTCCTGCATAACCACCCCTGCTCAGCTTCCTGCTTTTTGCGTGCTACGAGTGTCGCCGTCCCCCCCCCAGGTTTCTCTTTCCTGACCCCTCCTAGGCCTCACATCCCAGCCACTCCAACTCACGTTGACTGCTAACCGGCCTGCCCAAAAGGAAGCCCAGGCTGAGCAGGCCCGCCATGAAGCCTTCCCTCCAGGGTTCTCCAAGCCAGACCCCTCCGCTTCCGGATCCGGCGGCAAGAGCGGCAACCGGAACGTTTGAACGCAGCCGCCAATTCCGGGACCGAAAGTCGTCCCGCCTCTCTCTCCCCCCCCCCCCCGGGGGGTTGTGGGGGGTAGTTCACGATAGTTTAGAAACGGGGAGGGCTCTGCAGCTGGAGCTTACCCGAAAGTTCGCTGCTATCGAAGCCAGGTTGTGGGTTGGTGGGCGCAAGGCGCTCGGAACACGCCCGGATGTAGCTTCTCTTGGCTTGTTCTGAGCCCCGGTTCTCGTGTTCAGAGCAAAAGCTCTAAGGCTGGGACTTGGTGAGTGCAGGGTACAAATGAAGCCCTTTTTAAAAACAGCTTATTGAATGTTCTCTATGCGGTGCACTAATGGCGCAATCCTATGCAGAATGATGCCAGTCTAAGACCAGTTATTTCAGTGTGTTTGGACTGGAGTAAGCAGTGTAATTCACTAGTAGGCGGTCTCTGAATGGGTGTGCACAAACTGTGGGTCAAGACCAATGCTCCCTGTAAGCTGTGAGTCAGTTGCGAGCAAAAATTCTACTTTGTGAACTACTGGCATGAAAGTTGTGAGCGAGCTTTGGCTACTGCATACATTAGTTTGCTCTGAGCTTATACAAAAATGTGTGAGCTGGAGTCTAAAAACCTGTGAGCTAGCTCACACTAACTCATCTTAGAGGGAACATAGGTCAAGACCCAAAAGTGGGTTGGAACATCACAGGTGGGTCATGGGGGCCAGAAGGAATAAGGCAGTCAGGAGAAGAAGCCTAATGGTAAATTGGGGGGCTACCTTTGCCTAGGGTACAGAACAGCCATTAAATATAGCCCGTTATTCAGTACTGTTATAGATTTTAAAATAAGCATGGAAAATTTAAATGTTTACTGATATGAGATTCCTGCCTTTTCTGTAGGCGAGGGAGAAGGTAACAGAGTTACTCTGCAAGAGGGTCTGAGAAATTAGAGTAAGTTTAGAAATAATGTCCTGCTTTAAAACATTTCAGAACCTCTGTCCTAAACTAAGGATTGGATTGACCTGAACTCTGTGAATTGTTTGATTAAAATGCAGGAAGCCTGGCCCCTCAGCAGGACACTCATAGCACCAAATCTTCAAGCTTCTTAATATCTTTCCCTGGGGATTGGAAACTTCTGAAATGTGATATGAAGAACCCCTGTATCTCCCCAACTGTCTGGCAGATTTCTCTCACCAAATCTTCAGTTCCCCTCAGTAGACTGAGTTGCCCTACAGAAGCGTGTGTATATTCTTTGTCATAAAAGGCTAAACTGTCCAACCCTATGTTTAGATATTTAGTTTAGGCTTTTTCTCAGCTCAGGAAGTCTGCTGGAAATACAGGAGCTGCCCAGTTTTTTAAAAACCCTTGAGAAATGTCACTTGAGGCAAATAAAGCCAAACCCTCTGGCTACTGATCCAGACCTTAGAAAGAACAAGTTACAAAAGACCTCTTTTCCCTCCAGATCATCTGTTTTATTTTCTCTCTCAGCTGATGCTGGCCAGTCAGAAAGTGAGCAGAGCAGCCAATCACCTAAGCTGGTCTCTCCAGGGAAGATTACCACTTGAATTCCCTGACTCTCTTTTACAAGCAGCATTTTAAAAAAGCCTGCTTTTCTTTGCAGTCTGTCGCCCATAACAGCTACATTAAGAACATAAGAAGAGCTCTGCTGGATCAGACCAGTGGTCCATCTAGTTCAGCATCCTGTCTCACACAGCGGCCAACCAGTACCTCTGGAGGGCCAACAACAGGGCATAGAGGCCAAGACCTTCCCTGATGTTGCCTCCTGGCTCTGGGATTCAGAGGTTTAGTGCCTCTAAATGTGGAGGTTCCCATAGTCACCACCAATGCTCCCTCTAAGCTGTGGAGTCTTGTGAGCAAAAATTCTACTTTGTGAGCTGTTGGCATTAAAAGTTGCGAGAGAGCCATTTGGCTGCTGCATAAATTAGTTTGCTCTGGAGCCATCTTTCCTGAGCTAAGACAAAAATGTGTGAGCTAGAGGCTAAAAAACTGTGAGCTAGCTCACACTAATTCAGCTTAGAGGGAACACTGGTCACCACGGCAAGTGGCCACTGATAGACATATTCTCCATGAATCTATCTAATCCACTTTAAAGTTGTTTATTCCTGTGGCCATCACTACATCCCCAGGAAGTGAATTTTGTATCAGATTCTTTATTCCAAGGCATTCTCATTCTAGAGGATGTGGTACATAGTTGGGTGGATTTCCCTCTGCCTGCTGCCCTGCACAAAGAGCAAAACTTTGCAAATGACTCCTCTGCAGTAACTTTTTATAACAGGCAACATCTTTCTACAAGACAAATTGATTAATGTGTTGGAAATCTCCTTGTCGGAGAACCCAAGAAATGTTGGTTAGTCCTTTCCTGTAGATAAGTAGAGAGTGTGGTGTCCTGGCTAAAGTTGTCTTGCAGCTGCCAGTGACTTTAATTGTTGTCCTTCCTTCCTTAGATGTTACCTAGTTCCACTGCCCTCTTTTCATCGTACAAGGGTATACACAATGTTCCCAGAGGTGGGTGACAGTGAGGGTGAGGAGCTACCCACCTTTTCTTTTCTAAAGAAGCAGCTACCTCTGAGAGATGAAGTCGTTGTCCTCTCCAGCTCGGATTCTGAGGACTCATCCACTCTGTCTCCTGCATGGAAAAAGGCCTGTAGTGGACAAGATTCAGCCGAAGCAGCTATTCAGCTGAAAAAAATGTCAGAACTCAGCAGTGAAAGTGAAGAGGATGAGGACCTGATGCCCTTGGCTGAAAGGCTCAGGAAGAACCTCTTGAACGCCAAGCCTTCTACAGCTGGGGCTTCATTTACTAGAATCCAGGAGCCAAGAAGCCAAGACTTGGTTGGGCACAAGAGCCTACACTCAAATGATGAGCAAGTAGCCACTGATTGCTGGCAGCAGTCACAACCCAGAGCACCAGACGTTTGGAGGAGAGCTGTACCGAATACTTGGGAGTTGTCAGACAGCGACCAGGAAGAGGCTTCCAGAGTTCCCAAGAAACAATCTGTGAACCAGCTTTCAGTTTGTCTCTCTCAGTGCTCAGAAGAAAATGGAAGCCACCAAATAGCTGAGATGAACCCGAAGTCCTTCCCTGTTCAGACAAAAACAAAACACAGCCAGGAGGAACTTGACAAAGCTTACCAGGCCGCCATACAGAAGAGAAAAGATCAAGAAACTCGGAAGAGGCTGCAGGAGCAGGAAAGGGAGAGGAAGAAGGCTCTTGCCAATCTGCGGAAGGCTCAGAGACCGGAAGAGTGTCTGAAACGCATTCAAATAGTGCTGGATCCAGGTATTGCCCTTTCATTCCTAGCTCTGTTAGGAGTTAATCTTTTACCCTCCCTACGGATCCCTGACCTCTATCCCCACTTTAGGTCTTTTACAGGTAGAAGGTGGTGGACAGGTGCTTACCACTCTGCAGTCCATGGACTGTAGCTACATCATTGCGAATCAAGCAGTTCCCTGCAGTATTACCTGGAGAAGGAAAACTGGACTAACTCAAGTAGGGAAGCAAACATCTCCCCCCCCTTACCCCCCATTTCTAGCAAATGGCTATGTTGGCACAGGCTGTTGACTGTCAGTGGTATTTCTTTGGTGACTTTGTTGTTCTGACAGATCTTAATAAACATGTAGTTGAAGGTTTTCTTCTTTTAATCCCTGCAACACGTGCACGAAGTGGTACATTCCTTTCCCAGCAATATTTTCTGTGTTACCCGAGCAAATATTTCAAGAGTTATCTCCCTCATCACTAAAGCTTGTTGTAAGTTGTGGGCCTATACCCAACAATATAAACAATTAAGCTGTGATGCACCTTGTGGGAAATTTTCTGAGGATTCCTCCAGAATAGAATTCCGGCACTGAAGATTTCAGTAGTTTGTAATAGTTCTCCGGACCCCTATTACTCTCGGATCCCCATCTTCATCCAAGATTGCTCACTAATTCACCCTCTTTGGAAACAATCTGAATTTAATTCCAAAGTGAAGCCAATTCCATAGTCATTGAGTTGGGTGTTGTTTGTAGTCTAGCTTTGCTGCATATAATTTGATGAACAGCTTTATTCTGTAGTTACCATCATGTAAGTTTAATTAATATGTTGCATAGTAGTGGGATACATTCTATGAAGAATGTGGCTTTCTTTGCTAGACCAATTTCAGAGGGTAGCTGTTTTGGTCTGTAGTAAACGCGTTGGATTCGAGCTCAGCAGCACCTTAGAGACCAACAAGGGTTTCAGGGGATGACCTTTCGAGAGTAAGAGCTCCCTCTGTCAGATTCCTGCTTGTGTCTGACGACAGGAGCTTTGGCTCTCAAAAGCTCCTACCTTGAAAATCTTAATGGTCTCTAAGGCGCTACTGGAATTGAATCTATTTGTTAGACCAAATGCACAGTAGTTCTGCAGTATTTGCAGTGGAGTTCCCCCCCCCCCCCGATAATTGCCATTATATTTATTTATTTCCTTTACTTGTAGCCTGACTTCCTCACTGAGACATGAGGCAGATTACAGTATGTAAAAACAATGCACTCAGGAAAAAGATGTCCCATACAAATCTGACAGGACTAGGATCACAAAATCAAAAAAAAAAAAAAACCCAATGCAAACAAAACCTGGTATAAGGTATGGCACATCACAAACAATGTAGAGAATGGAATTATTCTATGTATTTTCTTTGTCTTCGACTCTCCTCTGGTCTTAAGTCTGTGGTGTTTGTGTCCGAAGGCTGAAGATGACAACTGGAAAGAAGAACCCGACATCCTTGTTCTCGTGCTCCTAGAAGACTTTGTCTCCATGATCCAAAACGATAAGCTGGTGAGGTCACTTCTAGTTGCTGTTCAGTTAGCTAGTGACAAGATTTATGGTGGCTTTTGGCAAAAAAAAGGCCAAATGCTGAAAAACTGCAGAGGTCTATTGTGACAGTCCTGGAAGCAGGTTCACAGATTGTAAATGCTTTGTTTCGTTGGGGAAGGTTTGCTAGTTCATGAATCGGCAGAGATGATTTTATAACCATATGGATTTGGTTGGAGGTTATGGGTTTTTGCCTTGGTCCAAAAAAGTATAGCTTCTCCTTTTTTAAATAGGTTAGCATGGAAGGATCTAGTGTGACTCTGCAGAACTTTGTGGCTGATGTCAAGAAGAAAATCCCTGGGAAAACTCTGGCAATGGCTGTAGTTGAACTAGAAAAATACTTCAGGTTAGAATTGTTCGTTGCAGAGATGTTTGGATTTTGTTTTTTCTTTTCCTGAATTGGTTTGGAACTAAGGTACTGTTTTTGTAGAGGTGGGTAATTTTTTCTTGCTTTAGGATTCACTCAGCTGTCATCTGAATTCCTGGCAGACTCTACTCTTTACCTCACGTTGTGTCATGGGGGCACCATGTTTGACAGCAAATCTTTGGCATATAAAAATCTGTTTTGTATATTTGCATCATTTAGCAGGCCTAAATTCTCTGGCTAAGATGGGCTGGGGGAAAAGGCAAAAATAAATCAACAGTTCAGAGACAAGACCCAAGAATGAAGAATTAAAAGACTGACTCATTTTCTCCCCTCATTGTATCTAAGTAGCATTGTATTTCAAGACAAAGTATGCTATCAAAGCAGAGCTGGTTGACCCCAACTTCATTGTGTATATGCTGTTTTGGGACCAGTTTTAGAATGGATATGTTGTGGTTGGTAAAGTTGTTTTCTGTGGTAATTATTGCTCATCTCGAGTATGAAATGGTGCAACCTGCTATCACCACAGGTGCTGCCTGTGGAGTAGTGAAGCACAGGATGAGAGAGACATTTGTCACTTTTCCTCACAGGCAGCAGCTCTCACTTGCCCATTCTTCAGGGAAGACAAAGACACGACGAGGAGTGGAGGAGGGGGCTGGAAACGCCTCCTTTCCCCTGCCTCATGGGAAGGGGCTTCAGACAGCGCGCAACATGGTTCTACCAGGCCACATGCAGGCCATCTGTTGTGCACTCATGCTGCAGACATATACAACATATTTTCAAGTGTATGTTTGGAAGTGAATAATTTTGTCCACAATTAACATGCTATAATGTGTATGAAGATAATCGTTCAGGGCTTTCCATTTTAGAAACTTTAATGCTATCTATATATGCCACTGCCCTTATTTATGGCCATGTGAGATAGTTTCTGTCCAAGGTACACAATTCCTTTTCTTTACTACACAATCTGTGTTGACTATTTTCAACTTTTTTTCCTTACCACTCAGATAGCCCAGACCAAGAGATATGTGCTTAAGATAGAATAGGGTGTACTTTGCAGCACTTTCCGCCTCTAGAATTGGCTATGTTTGTATTTTTTTATTGTAGAAAGTTAAGGCATGTATCCTTTTACATTTCATAAATATTCAAAATAGTACAGTGTTATATGCCAAGTAAGTTATAAATGATGGGTTTTATGTTTAAAGCAGTTCAAGAAATTCCACTTTCGTAAAAAAAGCAAAACCTCAGGCTTCAAAATTTCTAGAAATTTTACGCCTTTAGCCTAAGTGAAAGAAGTCCTTCCCATTGTTGTATAAAAAAAGGTTTATTGTACAAACCCAGAGCATATATCCTGGGAAGAAATTCAAAACTGGCAGTACTCTAACTCAAAACTCAGTTTCTTTCTGTCATGGCTGTGTGCTTACTGAGGTGGTCAAACTTGTCTGAGAGCTTGTTTGCAGTTCTGCCACTCATTTTACTCCTGCTGCCCCTTTTCTGGAATAACTGACTATTGATTTAAGTTTTTGTCTTCTTAGTTCTCACAAGCAGAAGCAACAAAAGAGACTGCAGCGAGCCCTACCAAACAGCAGTGAGGTACAGGGACAGGGAAAACAAAGGAATCGGAAAGGGAAGACCATTCCAGCCCCAGAGTTATCCAGAGTGGATGTGGAAGAAGTGAGTTTGGAACAGTAGGCATGTGTTTTTTACAGGACATCTCTTCAATACAGTTAAGTCGTCTCCTGCAAAGAACTTCTTCAGGGAATTATACCCTTCAGCTGCCAGACATTTGACCTCAGTCTTCTGCGTGGGTTGGTAGGTACAGTTGTGCCATGGCTGGAGCACACAGCAAAACACAAAGGCTGAAGAAACCAGCCACATTGTGGGTCACAGCTGATTTACGTATTTAGGAATTATATAATCACAGAGTTGGAAGGGGCCAATACAGGCCATCTAGTCCCACCCCCTGCTCAATGCAGGATCAGCCTAGAGCATCCCTGACTAGTGTTTGTCCAGCTGCTGCTTAAAGACTGCCAGTGAGGAGGAGGAGATGCATAGGCTGCCAAGATGGCTAACAAAGTACAGAAATAAATAATAAAAGCATAAGACATAAAATCATTTTTAAAAGGAATAAAATTGGTGATTTTTTTTTTAAAAGGCCACAGGACATAAACAACAACATGTCATTTACTCAGATAAAAGCAGTAATAAAATAGCAATAACCATAAAAACAATATGTAGACTATAAAACAACTAGATGAAAAAGATGGGACAAAACGTCTATTGCGTCTTTCTTTAGAAATTTATACTCTGCGTTTTACCCGAAGAGGGATCTAAAGTGGCTTATAACATCATTCTTCCTCCTCCATTTTATCCTCACACAAACCTGTGAGGCAGGATAGGCTGAGCAAGAGTGGCTGGCCGAGAGTCAACTGGCAAGCTTCCATTGGCAGTGGAGATTCAAACCTGGGTGTCAGATCCTCTGCCACTCTAACCACTATAGCAAATTGTTTCTCTATTAAAAGCCTGGATAGAGAGAAATGATCAGGCCTGGTGCCTAAATGACAGTATGGAGAGGCCAAATGGGCCTTCTGGGGGGGAAGGCATTCCAAAGGGGGAGGCAGTCCTTCAAATGCAGAAGTATTATGACTGAGAGTATTGTAAGTCAGATTGGCAGACAGTTTGGTTGAAGACTGGAGAACCAGCCTTGAAAAGCAGCTTGACTGTCTTAGATTCTACATTTTTAGCTGTTGTACATATGTAAGCCGCCCTGAGCCTGCCTCGGCTGGGAGGGCAGGGTATAAATTGAATAAAATAAATAAATACACCTTCTCACAGGAGGTGTCCTTTTCTAAGGTGAGGGGAATGGTTAAGATTGTGTACTGTACCAAAGTGGTGACTTGGGTAGTAGTATCGTCCCATATTCCAAAGGTAGGCTGCTTTGCTCACCATTTAGTCTTTCCATTTGCAGGCTTTAGTGGGGCTACAGCTTTCCACGGGCATCCAGGTTCGAATCCTCGAGAGCTGGAAGGAGTTTGCTGATTTTGTCAGCATGTTCACCAAGGCTGTAGCTGAAGCACCATTCAAGTGAGTGAGGAAATAAAGACGCCTATTTCTCAGGGCGTTTCCTGGGGATATGTCAGCAGCCTGAATTTAAGGGGATGCTGCTGGAGATGCAACCATCAACCTCCAGTGCAAGGCCTTTCACTTAAATCTGAAATATTCATTATTGAAGTGGGGCCTCAGTGGAGGTCTCTGGGGAGGCCTGAGGTAAAGTCCTCTGTGCAGCAGTTCTCCATTGGTACCATCTTCAGTTTGCTACTGCTGCCACCTTAGGCCTAGTTAGGCCTAGACATCACCGAAGAAGCTTGTGTGGACCCCTGCCAAGACCTCTTACATTCTCCTACCTTTTCTCCCAGCTCATCTGAAAACATCAAGACCTCCTCCTATTTCACTCACTTCCTGGCTTCTGCCTGAACTGGCTCCATCTTTAGATAGCATCACATGTTACAGAAAGGCTGGCTTCCTGCGTTTGTAGGGCAGGTTGACTGTGTCGTCTTTGTAATTCTTGAGGAGCACGTTTCCAAAACATACCTGAGAGTTGCAATTGGCTGGGGATCTTGAATGTATTTTCTGCTTTCAGGCATTCAAATGCTATAGGAAAGACAGTTGCCTGATGGTAGACCCTCAGAGTGCTGCTTCTACTGCACCACTCCTTGAACCGGGTTATCGCACTCAGTCTGAATTTCTTGTGTTTAAAATGCATTGTTTGTATTGGAATTTCCTTTCCATGCTCATTAGATTGCATTTCTCCTTTGTACCTTTTACAGAAGAGAACGGGATAAACCCAGCTTTTCCTTCTGCTTGGAGGGTGACTGGATTGGAGGTAGAAAGGTAGACTGCTCTGGAAAAGGTCTGCTGCAAGTTTGGAAGAGACAGCTTCAGCAGTTTAACCGGGTCAGTTTAGAGATGGCTAATGCCATCGTGACCAAATACCCTTCTCCACTGCTCCTTGTACAGGTACGTTATTCTCCTGCAACAAGAATGGCTGTATTTCATGTGCAGACATGGAATCTCAATGTTTATGCCATGTTTACATGTTGAAATTCTCATTCTTTTTTAAAACATCCAGCAAAGTCCACAAGCCACATAGGGAATCCAATTCTGGGAAGAAAAACAAATCAATGCATATTTGTCTAATTTGTAGAGCTTCTGTAGTGTGGAATATTCATAGTCCTGAACAAATATAACTAGGGGTCATTTGGGACCGGAGCACTACTCATTCTACCCATTTTCAAAAGGTTTTCAAAAAAGAAATACCCTCAAAGATTTAGCTCCATAAAATCCATGTCCTGCTCTAAGTTGCTGTTACCTGTCAGGTCTTGAAGAACTCACTCCTAACACACTCTTGGCAGTGATTTGTTGAGAGGTAAAGAGGTTTCAAGCATAGATGAATCTGTGTCAGAACTGACCCCTTGGCACCAGTTCCCCAATTATACATAATTCAAACAATCCCCTCCTAGTGACCAAACCAATCACACCCAGATATCCAGCCTGCCAAAATCTACGGTGCACCATCAGTCCTCCTCCAACACCTGCAAATCTATAGTTACATTATCTAGCAGTGTTTGGTACCAGCACCTGGTATTCAAGGTCAAGCACACATACTTCCTAGCAAAGAGAGCCAGTTTGGTGTAGTGGTTAAGTGCACGGACTCTAATCTGGGAGAACCGGGTTTGATTCCCCACTCCTCCACTGCTATGTTGGACTTGATTCTCACCAACAGGAAAGAACTAGTTCACAAGGTGAAAGTAGCTGGCACACTGGGTAGTATTGACAATGTAATTTTGGAATTTACAGTCTTGGGGAAGGAAAAAGCTATATGTACTTCAGAAAAGCAAATTTTAACAAACTTAAAGTTATGCTGGGTAGAATCCCATGGTCAGAAATACATAAGGAGAAGGGAGTTCAAGAGGGATGGGAGTTTCTTAAAAGTGAAATACTGAAGGTACAATCACAAACGGTTCCTATGAGAAGAAAAAATGGGAGGAGCTTAAAGAAACCAAGGTGGTTCCATAAACAGCTTTCTAAAGATTGGAGAAATAAAGACTCATTTAGGAAACGGAAGGAGGGCCTTATAACCAAGGATGAATATAAACAAATAACCAATGCTTGTAGGGGGAGTGTTAGAAAAGCTAAATCTCAGTATGAGCTTAGGTTAGCAATAGATGCTAAAAACAACAAAATAGGATTCTTTTGTTATGTTCAAAGTAAGAAAAAGAGCAAGGACATGGTGGGCCCACTGTGGGAACAGGAAAGTGAAATTGTAACAGGTGATGAAGAGAGGGACGAACTGCTCAGTTCCTACTTTCTCTCAGTCTTCTCTTGTGAGGGAAACGGTGCTCAACATGTCAAAAACATGAGAACATAAGAGACGCCAATGTTGGATCAGGCCAATGGCCCATCCAGTCCAACACTGTCACACAGTGGCCAAAAATACCAGGTGCCATCAGGAGGTTCAGCATCATTTGCCCCATACTGAGAGTTCCTATCTATACCTTGTGGCTAATAGCCACTGATGAACCTCTGCTCCATATGTTTATCCAATTCCCTCTTGAAGCTGTCCATACTTGTATTCGCCACCACCTCCTGTGGCAGTGAATTCCATGTGTTAATCACTCTTTGGGTGAAGAAGTACTTCCTTTTATCTGTTCTAACCTGACTGCTCAGCAATTTCATTGAGTGCCCACAAGTTCTTGTATTGTGAGAAAGGGAGAAAAGTACTTCTTTCTCTACCTGCTCTATCCCATGCATAATCTTATAAACTTTGATCATGTCATCCCAAGCTGTCGTTTCTCCAAGCTAAAACAAAACACATAATGAGGGGAGTTGCAGCCTAGGTTCAGCAAAGGGGTGGTACATAAACAACTAGTTCAGGGGTGTAAAGCATAAGGCCCAGGGGCCAGAACCGGCCCATCCAAGGCTGTTATACGGCCCACGAGCAACTAGTGCAAGGGAGGGAATGGAAGACTGCTTGAGGGGAGTGGGTGGAGCCACTCTGATTGTGGCTTCAGCATGGTGGAACAACCTCATCTGCAGCAGTCAAACAATGTGGGAGCATCTGCCCATTGCTGCACTGCTCACTCTCCAGTCTGCCCATATGGGTTTTCCTTTGCATCCTCCTCCCAGCCCATGGGAATTTGCAGTGATGATACACCAACTCGGAAACAGCTGCTCTCTTTTATGCAGTTTCTATCTAAGGTACCTGGCATTGTTTTATGGCCCACATGGCCCGGTCCAACAAAGTGACATTTATGTCAGATCCGGCTCTCATAACAAATCAGTTCTACATCTCTGACCTAGTTTCTTTAAACGAAACTAAGTCCTCAGGGCCAGATGAATTGCATTCAAGGGTACTAAAAGAACTCTCGAATGTAATTTCTGAGCCTTTGTCCGTTATTTTTGAGAATTCTTGGAGAACAGGTGAAGTGTCGGAAAATTGGAGGCGAGCAAATGTTGTCCTCATCTTCAAGAAGGGGGAAAAAGGAGGATCCGGGCAACTACTGACCCGTCAGCTTGACATCTACACCTGGAAAAGTTTTAGAACAAATCATCTGTCAGTCAGTCCTTGAGCATTTAGAAAGGATAGCTGTGATTACTGAGAGCCAGCATGGGTTTCTCAAGAACATGTCATATCAGACTAACATTATGTCTTTTTTCAAGAAAGTTACTACCTTGCTGGATCAGGGGAATGCTGTAGACATAGTTTATCTTGATTTCAGTAAGGCTTTTGATAAGGTTCCACATAATATTCTTTTTGACAAGTTGGTAAAATGTGGTTTGGATCCTACTACTGTTAGATGGATCTGTAACTGGTTGACAAATCACACCCAACGAATGCTTGTTAATGGTTCCTCATCCTCTTGGAGAGGAGTGACAAGTGGAGTGCCTCAGGGATCTGTCCTGGGACCTGTTTTGTTCAACATCTTTATCAATGATTTGGATGAAGGAGTAGAGGGAATGCTTATTAAATTTGCAGATGACACTAAATTGGGAGGGGTAGCAAATATGGTAGAAGACAGTCAGGATACAGGATCATCTTGACAGGCTGGAGAACTGGGGTAAAACAAATAAAATAAATTTCACTGGGGATAAATGTAAAGTTCTGCATTTAGGTAAGAAAAATCAAATGCATAATTATAGGATGGCGGAAACTTGTCATGGCAGTAGTATGTGTGAAAAGGATCTAAGGGTCTTAGTAAAGTCAGCAGTATGAGATGTGGTAGGTAAAAAGGCAAATGCGATTTTGAGCTGTATCAACAGAAGTATAGTGTCCAGGTCATACGTAGCGATGGTATTGCTTTACTCTGCTCTGGTTAGACCACACCTAAAGTATTGTGTTCAGTTTTGGGCACCACAATTTAAAGATATAAACAAGCTGGAACGTGTCCAGAGGAGGGTAACAAAGATGGTGAGGGGGGGTCTGGAGACCAAGTCCTTTGAGGAAAGGTTGAAGGAGCTGGGTATGTTTAGCCTGGAGAGGAGAGGACTGAGAGGTGATATGATAACTATCTTCAAATACTTGAAGGGCTGTCATATAGAGGATGGTGCAGAGTTGTTTTCTGTTGCCCCAGGAGGTTGGATCAGAACCAACAGGTTGAAATTAAATCAAAAGAGTTTTCAGCTAGACATTAGGAAGAACTTACTGACAGAGCAGTTCCTCAGTGGAACAGGCTTCCTTGGGCGTTGGTGGGCTCTCCTTCTTTGGAGGTTTTCAAACAGAGGCTAGATGGCCATCTGACAGCAATGCTGATTCTGTGAACTTAGGCAGATCACAAGAAGGGAGGGCAGGAAGGGTTGCATCAGTGCTTAGTTCTCATGGCCCTTTCTTACAAGCTCAGGGAAATACCAATTGCCACTTTGGGGTCAGGAAGTAATTTTCTCTAGGCCAGTTTGGCCGGGGATCCTGGAGGGGCTTTTTTGCCATCTCCTGGGCATGGAGCAGGTGTCACTGGGGCATTGTGCAGGGGGTTGGACTAGGTGACCCTGGAGGTCCCTTCCAACTGTATGATTCTATAGTTTATTTAATTACTCATGCACTATAATAGTTAGGAATGCATTCCTAATATCAGACTAAACTTCCTTCAGCTGTACAACCCACCCCCCAGCAGCTGTTTACTGCTGTCTCATGGGTGGAAAGTAGAAAAATAAATCTCTGGCTATGAGTGATAAGTAAACAAATAGACTGGTCTAGGGTGCATGTTTACAGTTAGAAGTAGTGGTTTCCGCATCACAACAATGATGCATTGTGGTTACCTATTTGGGAAAACATGAGAATTCAAAGTCAACCTGACCATTGCTACAGAATACGTTATACTATTTTAGTGATCCAGTCTTGATCTGTGTTACATTTAGGCCTACAACACCACCACTTCTGAACAGGAGCGACAGAAGCTTCTTGCAGAGATACCTGTACGCCGTGGTGATGGTGTGACTGCCACTACAAGACGGGTTGGTCTGGAGCTCTCCAAACGGATTTACTTACAGATGACTTCCCATAATCCTGACCTTTCACTGGATGAACCAAAAATATAGATTGAAGCAGACTCTCTGTTCAAACTATTCATTTTATTATGGGGGGGAGCATTAAACATTTTTGAAAACATAAAAGTTTCTCAGAGCCTGGAAAGGAGAAATGACCCTGCCTACAGAAGTCTTCTCAGCCAACAATCCCAAATCTGTCTTCGTCCACTGCAGCTAATTGAAAACGTTTACTTTCATTTGTGAGATATGGTGGCAGTCTGGCAAATAAACTTTTTAAAAAGCAACTGTTATCCCAAACTGCTATATAACCCATGAGCAGTAAATGGCTATCATGCACAGTGTTAACCTCAAAGCAGAATAGTGGAAGTTAAAGCTGTCTGTGAATAAGTCTGACTTCATATATTGTTATTTCAACGTAGAGCTGCCCATCCACCAAACTGGAACAATATTCTCCTTTCATTCCATAGGTTATAGAAGACCTTAAACTCTACATTCTTGTTTGCAAGAGCCCAACCTATAATCCGTTCATATTGAATGATAGGTTTGATTATACTTCAAAGAACAATGGATTATGGAATTTGGGTAATGTCAGACTCGGGCCTCGTTTGCCATATGTTTTCTTAACTGTCTGTCTTTGATGTCTGTAAGCTCACTGCCTTCTTAGTCTGGCTGGGAATTGGGGAGTGTATGTGTGGAATTGCTTTGCTGAGAGTCACACTGGCTTGTAACTGTGTCCATGTGAGGCCTCCCTTTGCTGGGACGTATGTATGCTTGACCTTGAGTACCAGGCACTGGTAGCAGACACTGCTAGGTAATGTAACCGTAGATTTGCAGGTGTTGAAAGAGGGCTGATGGTGCACCGTAGATTTTGGCAAGCTGGATGTCTGGGTATGATTGGTTTGGTCGCTGGGGAGGGATTGTTTGAATTATGTATAATAGGGGAACTGGTGCCAAGGGGTTCAGTTCTGACACAGATTCATCTATGCTTGAAACCTCTTTACCTCTCAATAAAGAAATCCCTGCCAAGAGAGTGTTGTTGGGAGTGAGTTCCTTCAAGACCTGACATAGTGTCAGAACTGCATTTCCCTCAAACCATAGCACCGCAACCGCCATCAGCAACAGAGGGGAGGAAGGGGAAGCTAAGCCCCCTCTGAAATCACCTGAACCCAAAGAGGGCCCCGCTAACCTTGCAGAGGGGCCTAAGGAAAATGATGTGAAATGGAAACAGCCATGGCTTGAGAGAGGACAGTGGGAAGCCCCGGACTCGGCTACCCCTTCCATGGGGGCCAATGGCTTCTGGTGATGGTGATCAGAAAGGGACCGTCATCGGATTTTGGGAATCTTCTGCAATGATCCCGAGCGCTCAATGGTTGCAAGAGCAGAAGTGGAAAGATGCCATCTGTAAGAGATGGAGATCGAATATGTCCCACCAGAGCTGCAGGCAGAGATCACAGAGTTGTACAGGGACACCCAGGCCACCCTGGGTGGCTTGGTGGACGTCATCCGGGATGTGCTGCAGCAGGAGCTCCGCAGCTTGCGGTTGCAGGCAGGAGGTGATGACGCTCAGACTGCCCCCCTCTGGGGAGTGAGACCCCTCCAGAACCACATCCTCCACACCCTGGTCCAGGGGCCCCCAGAGACGCTCTCAAAGCCACGTTCAACGGGACTCCAGGGAAGCTGGCATTTTTTGTGCTCTAGGTCTGGAAGTTCCTGAGGGAGTGGGGCCACACTTTTGCCTCAGATGAGTACCAAGTGGATTACCTGGGCTCACAGCGGACTGGTTTGTGGGACTGTACAACGTGGGGGGGCCAGAAGACCCGCTGGAGCAAGCCAGGACCTGACTCTGGGGACTGAAGCAAGGCAGCCAGTCTGTCAGGGAGTTCTCTGACGAATTCAAGATGTATGCGGCCAAATAGCAAGGGTGCCTGGAGGAAGTGCTCATCGAATTCTACACACCATCCTGGACAAAGCCCTGACCCAAGACAACCCTGTAACCCTAAACGGCTAAATCCACATGGCCTGTGAGGCGGAGAACCGCTGCAACCTTCTAAAGATGTACCACCCCAAGCCCTGGCAAAGGCACTGAATGGGGAGCCGAAGGGCAGCGAGGTCAACTCCAGGGGTTTGGGAGCAGAGGATGTGGCATGGGTTGTGCCTGAAGTGTGGAACCCCTGGGCACTTTGCCGCCAATTGCCCGGGCAAGAGGAGCCCCAGTGGAGTGAAGAAAGAGGAACGCAAGGGACCGGAGAAGAGGACTAAACCACCCGGGAGTCATCCCAAGCAGCTGAGAGCCCTCCATTCGGGAGGGAGAAAGGATTTGGAAAGCATCTCATCCAGTGAGGAAGAGCTACAACAGCCAGTGGGAAAAGGCTGGGACCTTCTGTGAAGGGCACTAAATGGCAGGTCTGAAATTCTCCCACACCAGAATCGGTGAGATCCTCTTCCCTCCTATTTTACGTGACTGTGGCCAGTCCCCCCCTGCATATCCACATTTGGGTGTGCTCTCTTATTGACTCAGGGTGTACCCGAGACCTAATCAGCCTGGCTTTGGTGATAGTATTGGGGGCCAAGCTGCAAGAGTTGGAGGAGCCCCTGGTTTTCTTCCAGATGGACGGGGTACCCATGCACCGCACAGCTCACCTACCAGTGGGAGTGGAATCCCATTGGAAGTTGAGGCCTTTCATTGTGAACCCTTCAGGTAAGTTCCCAATGGTACTGGGGAGCCCCTGGCTCAGATCTCACAACCCCTTTATCCAGTGGAGCTTAGGAACCCTGTGGTTTCTGGACCTCCGCTGCCAGGCGCATTCCTGGAACTCAGAGTGGGGGGGAGATCCGCAACTGGTGCTGGAGCAGGTATGCCTGGCCAGAGAGGAGCTAAGTCAAATCCCCCTGGAATACAGGAACTTGTCCAAGGTATTCAAGGAGGGGGAGGGGGACAAACTCCCCCCTCATAGGAACACTGACTGTGCTATTAAGATCTTGCCTGGCCACAAAATTCCCAAGGGGAAGCTGTATTCTATGAGCCCAGCCAGAAAGGAAAAGCTGTGAAAGTTCATTGATAAGAATTTGGCCCAGAGGTTCATCTGACTGACGGCCTCACCATTTGCCGCCCTTGTACTATTCCGCAAGGAGGAAGGGGGGTTGAGACTGTGTACCAACTACTGGGGTCTGAATGCTGTGTCAATGTCCAATGCCTACCCCCTCCCATTGATAAAAGATTTGTTGGCGGAGACCGCTCAGAGCTGCATCTTCACTGAGCCCGCTTTGCGGGGAGGGCGGGGTATAAATTTGATAATAAATAAATAAGTTAGATTTGAGGGATGCCCATATCCCACCCTGAGCCTGCTCTGGGATATAAATTAAATAAATAAATACCTTTGAGTACGCAGCCAGGAGCGGGACAAACATAAAACTGCTTTCAATACCCTGCTTGGACCATTCGAATACCTGGTAATGCCATTTGGGCTAGCAGGGGCCTCTGGAGTGTTCATGAACTTGATTAATAAAGTGTTACATAAATAGTTGTTCAAGGGGGTCCTGGTTTATCTGGATATTTTGATTTATATGAAATACAAGGACTCACACACGCAGGTGGTCAGAGAAGTACTGAAAGCCCTCTATCAGAACTGGTTGTTTGTAAAGTTGTTCAAGTGTGAGTTCCATAAAGAAGAGTTGGACTTCCTGGAGTACCGAATCTCTGGGAAAGGACTGAGCATGGACCCCCACAAAAGCAAAGATGTATTAGGGTGGGGCCCCCCTCAGACGAGGAGACAATTACATGCATTCCTCAGGTTCGCCAATTTCCACTGCCCCTTCATCCCAAATTTTGCCCAGGTAGCCCTACCCCTCACAGACTTGTTGAAAACAAAAGGGAAGGGGTTGGAGTCTAAAAAATCATGTTGTAAAGTTACAGTGGACCCCGGAGCAGTGTTCCCTCTGACCTGAGTTAGTGTGAGCTAGCTCACAGTTTTTTAGCCTCCAGCTCACTCATTTTGTCTTAGCTTAGGAAGGATGCCTCCAGAGCAAACTAATTCATGCAGTAGCCAAATCACTAGCTCACAACTTTAAATGCCAGTAGCTCACAAAGTAGAATTTGTGCTCACAAGATTCCACAGTTTAGAGGGAGCATTGCCCCAGAGCAGGGGTTATTTTGTAGAAAAAGAGCTAAGGGAACTCATTAGCATAACTCATTAGCATATGCCACACCCCCTGACATCACCGGAAGTGTGTCATAAGGCCACACACCCCGCCCCCAACGGTCCCGGCCGCCGGCGCTGGCCTTGCAGCTCCACTGCCGAGCCCCATGAGGGGCCCGGCGGTGGACCTGCAAGGCCGGCAGGAGTGCAAGGAAGCCCCGCGAAGGCCCTCCCTGGACCCAGGCAGGCAGGGGTGGGGAGAGGCAGGGAGGAAGCAACTTACCCTCCCTCTTCTCTTGCCTCCTCCTGGCTGAATGAGGGCTGGAAGCGGGGCGGCTGGAAGCAGGGGGCAGGGCTTCGTCATGTGCCCCGCCCCCCCGTACCTCACCTGGGGGAACTGCGATCCTCCGCGATCCCCCCCGAAATGACCTCTGGATCCAACCATTCCATACACGGAATGCAGAGTTTTCCTGTGTGCCTCTTTATCCCTGCAGCCCCTTCCAACCCCTGTGGACTGGAAGGCTGGAGTAAGGACAAGGAAGTGAAAACACTCTCTCTCTCCTCTCGCGTAGCTCCACTGGAGAAAGAGGTTGATTTCATCCCCTTGTCCATCCTCACTCCAACCCAGCAACCCTCAGTGTGTTCCTCCACCTGGACCACACAGCCTTAGGAATGATCTTTCTGGGGGCCAGAAGGGGCTGCAGGAACACAGAGCATCACAGGGAAACTCAGATGTGGAGGGTTGCATGCATGGATGGCTGGACAGATCAAAATGCATGGAACCAACAAGAGTGAGGGGCCCGGCGGTGGACCTGCAAGGCCAGCGGGAATGCAAGGAAGCCCCGCGAAGGCCCTCCCTGGCCCCAGGCAGGCAGGGGTGGGGAGAGGCAGGGAGGAAGCAACTTACCCTCCCTCTTCTCCTGCCTCCTCCTGGCTGAATGAGGGCCGGAAGCGGGGCGGCCTGAAGCAGGGGGCGGGGCTTCGTCATGTGCCCCCCCCCCGAAATGACCTCTGCCCCAGAGTACTAACAGGCTTTCAATGGATTAAAGGCTCTGTTCACCTCTGAACCAATCTTAGCCCACCCAGACAAAAATAAACCCTTTGTGGTGCAGATGGACACATCAGATGTGGCAAGGGGGGGGGGGGCGATACCGCAACAGGGGGGGGATGGGAAACTGCACCCCCTTGCCTATGTGTTGAGGAAATTCTCTGACACCAAGAGGAATTGGGTGGTTTGGGACAAAGAGGCCGCTGCCATTAAATTGGTCCTGACTATTTGGAGATATTGGTTGGAAGAGGCCTGGGTGCCATTTGAGGTCTGGACTGACCATAAAAATCTGGAGGCTTTATGCACCCCCAGCGCCTCAATGCTAAATCAGTTATGTTGGGCAGCATTTTTCTCAAAGTTTCAGTTTCCACTTATGTACCTTCCAGGGAAGTCTAATTTTCTTGCTGACACACTCCCGCGCCTCCCACAACATGCCAGTCAGAGGAAAGAAGTCATTGACTCTACGTTCACCCCCACTCAAATGGGGGGGGGTGCTTACCCACCATTGGGCAAAGAAGGAGGGGGCCCTCAATCCTGAACCTTGGGTGGAAAAATTTAAAGTGGCCTTCAGTGAAGCCGACAAAGAGGATGTGGAAAAGGAGGGCACTCTGCCACAAGGAGGGAATGGGTGCTGGTATTGCCAGCATATGTTGTTTGTGCCATGTTTCCTTCAAGGGGAAATTTTGAAACCGGGACATGACGATAAACTGGCTGGCCATTATGGGTATTTAAAGACTTTACACCTCATACAGAGACAGTTTTGGTGGCTGTGGGCTGACATCTCCCAGTATGTAGCCTCTTGCTAAGTGTGCCTAATGGGGAAAAGATGGGCTGGAAAAACTCCTGGTTAGTTGCAGGTTTTGAAACCCCCAAGAGGCCTTGGGCAGTCATTTCTATGGACTTCATAACGGATCTTCCACCCAGCAAGGGGAGAACAGTTACTTGGGTAGTGTTTGACCTTTTCTTGAAGCAAGCCCATTTCATCCCTTACAAGCAATTACCCTCCGCCAAAAAACTGGCCCAATTGTTTATGCACCATATTGTGAGACTGCATTCAGTGCCCAGGAAAATCATCTCGGACAGGGGGTCCCAGTTCATGGCAGCATTCTGGAAGGAATTGTTAAAGCTCCTTGGGGTAGAGCAAGGACTCAGTAGTGCTTACCACTCAGAGACAGATGGCCAAACTGAGCAAACCAATCAAGTACTGGAGCAATTCTTGAGATGTTTCATTAACTATCAACAGGATAACTGGCTGGACTTGCTCCCCTATTCGGAATATAGCTACTATAACTCTATTCATAGTTTCAGGGTGGTACATGGGTATGAGGGAGCCCCTCTCCCTACAATTGGGGTGGAACCCACTGGGCCCGGAGACTTACAGACCTGGTGGTCAGAGTTGGCCCAACAGTGGACTCTTATTCAACAGGGTTTGGCCAAGGCAAAAGAGGATTACAAAGCCCAAAAGGATAAAACCAGAGCACCTGAGTGGGACCTTAACCCTGGGGACTTGGTGTACATCTCCACATGCCCCCAAGGGCACTACAGTCGGGGACGCAACATCTGTTGGTGACGCCAGGCCCCAAGAAGGCCAGGCTGGCTATTACTAGGGCCAAAGCCTTTTTGGTGGCGGCTCCTACCTGGTGGAACAAGCTCCCGGAGATCAGGGCCCTGCGGAACCTTGCACAGTTCCGCAGGGCCTGCAAGATGGAGCTCTTCCACCAGGCTTTCAAGTAGGAGCCGCCACTGCCACCACCACCAATGAACTTGGAAACAGCGGGGTATTGGAATGGCCCATGATGATCAAACTGCGGCACTATGGCCCTGCAGACACCACTGAGTTTAAGATCTGACTAAGTATCCTCCGGCTACCATCCCTAAAATGGAAGATCATCATTTGTAACCATCTTGAAGCACTTTATTTGTATATATTGTAATTGTGTGTTTTATCTTGTTTTATATATCGGCACGCGTGCCTTGTTGTTAGCCGCCCTGAGCCCGCTTGGCGGGGAGGACAGCCTATAAATTGAATGAGAAATAAAAGAAATAAAAAACCTGAGGGGGTTACAGCCTGGGAAAAAACTGGGATGGAAGCAATGCTCCCTCTAAGCTGTGTGAAGTCATGTGAGCAAAAATTGTACTTTATGAGCTACTGGCATTAAATTTGGTTACTGCATAAATTAGTTTGCTCTGGAGCCATCTTTCCTGAGCTAAGACAAAGATGTGTGAGTTGGAGGCTAAAAAACTCTGAGCTAGCTCACACTAACTCAGCTTAGAGGGAACACTGGATGGAAGTATGTTGGGCCCTTTAAGGTGGTTATCAATAAATTGGCTGTGGAATTGGACTTGCCAAAGAACGTATGAAACATTCATCCCATTTTCCATTTCAGTCTGCTGAAGAAGGATCCTGGACCCTCAAGAGGGAGATCTCGGCCTCCGGCTCCACCTCCCCTGATGGTGGATGGGGAACTCCACCAAGTGGTGGAAGAGGTTTTAGACTCTAAGATAAAATGGGGCCACCTCTACTATCTCATCAAGTGACAAGACTTTGACCCTAGTCATGATGAATGGGTCCGAAGTGATCATGTCAAAGCCCTGAGATTAGCTCAAGTGTTCCATAAAGCTCATCCTCACAAACTTGGGGGGTGAAGGACCTTTGGGGGGGGCAGAATGTCAAACTCAGGCCTCGTTTGCCATATGTTTTCTTAACTGCCTTTGATGTCTATAAGCTCACTGCCTTGTCTTACTCTGGCTGGGAATTGGGGTGTGTGTGTGGAATTGCTTTGCTGAGAGTTGCACTGGCTTGTAACTGCATCCATGCGGGGCCTCCCTTTGAAGAAGAAGAGAAGAGATTGGATTTATACCCCGCCCTTCACTTGGAGTCTCAGAGCGGCTTACAAACTCCTTTCCCTTCCCCTCCCCACAACAGACACCCTGTGAGGTGGGTGGGGCTGAGAGAACTCTGACACAAACTGCTCTTTTCCAAGTACAGCTGTGCCAGAGCTTGTGACTGACCCAAGGTCACATCAGCAGGTGCAAGTGGAGTGGGGAATCAAACCCGGTTCTCCCAGATTAGAGTCCGCACACTTAACCACTATACCAGACTGGCTCTCTTTGCTAGGAAGTATCCGTGCATGACCTTGAATACCAGGTGCTGGTACCAGACACTGCTAGATAATGTAACTGTAGATTTGCAGGTGTTGGAGGAGGACTGATGGTGCACCGTAGATTTTGGCAGGCTGGATATCTGGGTGTGATTGGTTTGGTCACTAGGAGGGGATTGTTTGAATTATGTATAATTGGGGAACTGGTGCCAAGGGGTCAGTTCTGACACAGATTCATCTATGCTTGAAACCTCTTTACCTCTCAACAAATCACTGCCAAGAGTGTGTTGGGAGTGAGTTCTTCAAGACCTGACAGGTAACAGCAACTTAAGAGCAGTACGTGGATTTTATGGAGCTAAATCTTTGAGGGTATTTCTTTTCTGAAGACCTTTTGAAAATGGGTATACAGTGGCTTAATATAACACAAATATCAGTGTCTCCCTTATGCTGCATTCTTGTTATCTATCTCCTTGGATTTTTACCTTGTTCAAATCCTATGCATGTTTACCCTGAGATCTCACTAAGTTCAATAGGATTTCCATCCTAGTTAAGTCTGTTTCGAGGGAAATTCAGAATCATAGAGTTGGAAGGGGCCATACAGACCATTTAGTCCAATCCCCTGCCCAATACAGAACCAGCCTAAGGCATCTCTGACAAATATTCATCCAGCTTTCTATCTTTGATAGCTAAAACTGTAAAGTAATTAGACAAGTTTGACTGAGATAGCTGCCTGCACAAGTTGGTTTTCCTAGCTTGTTTGATGTTTGAACAATAAGATTTATGATTCATACACCAAGCTTATGAGTAAAAATATATATTGATAACGTCTTACCACCTCAATTCCATGGGCAACTCAGCCATCCCACATAGTGTTTGGTCCCTACAGCAATACAACATTAAAGATTTTATACAAAATTTTCTTAAAAGATGACAAATAGGTAACCTCACAGAGCAAGGCTAGATATTAAGCATATAGGCCCTCCTTGTTCTTCTTTAGGCAAGTAGCCTGTGTTTTGTAGCCCAGAAAATGCTCTTCTATAGAGAAAGGAAATGGCAACAAGTTCTCATTAGCCACAGCAGCTGCAGGGGAGGGGTACCGGGCAGTGATTCTGTTCTGTTTGAAGGGGGCCACCAAAGCCAATGCTGAATGACTAAAGGCAATTTTCACCAAAACACAATTCCATAGGAATTCTGGCTGTACTGATATAGAAACAGTCGAAAGAGATGCTGACAGTGGAAGAGTCCTTCAGGGCTGAGCCAACATTACTACTCCTGTGAGTTTGGCCGCAGGACATTCTGCATGATTCTGTGACTTTGCAAAACAGCGAGTGCGTCTTCATAGAGCATGTTCACACTGATGCACACAGGTTTGTGCTGCAGATCGGTAACCTTGCAAATAGCCAAAGTACTGAGGGCAGTTAACAGCAGGAACAGCAGCATCTTCAGCAGGATTCCAGACCAGGAACGTTTGTTTTGAGGCTGCTTTGATGAATGGGAAACTGAGAATTCTTTAGAAATGGGAGAAAGAAAAATATGTGAACTGAATATTAAATTCTTTTCTGCATAAAAATCAAACTATCCCCAATATTAAGAAGGTCTGTCATCAGCTTAATGGAAATGAACATATATCCTATTATAATATATATACATTCATCAGACAGGGTGACTAAATTATATACCTGGTATTTATTAAGCGAGTGCCAGGAAATCCTCCTACTGGTTTTGTTGAGGAGCAGACTGGATTCATATCCATCTGTTCAACCATGCATAACTGTTCACACTCACATTAAAAGAAATCTGATAGTGCAGGTTTGTCTGCTACTTATCAGCCTTCAGCCCTATATACGACACACTGAAGGGGAAACTTTTGAATACATGTTTCTGTTTCCACACTTTAATCAGAACTGTTAACCAAGACACTCCATTCTTATTTCTGACACATTCAGCAAGCTTATCAACAGAACGTTCTTGCCCTCTAGCATGGGGGGGAGAACTGACAATTTTTTATTGCAGTGTTTCTTACTAGGGAAAACAACAGCTTTGCACACAAAAATTCCCAGCAACCCCAGCTAAAAAGATCTCAATTAGCACTGCAAGTTACAGTAAACAATAGTGGGTGAGATAAGACAAATGTCTGATTCAGTACAAGGCAGCTTCATATGGTCTTTTCCCATTCTCAGGGTTGCCTATGCATCTTGTCAGCCTTAGGTAACTTTTTAAAAAGGAACATGTTGAACATTAATTACAACAGAAAAATATAATACTTGGTCAAACTGTGCTCTTTTGCCACTTGGGATACTCACAACATTGAATCTGAGGCCAATGCAAATGATCTAGACTTACAGCTTTTTGACCAATTATTTATTCTATAATCAGGACATCTACTTCAAAGCTGAAGACTGACACACTGAGTAGAATACATCTTTTAGCTAACTAGGAGTAAGGCCCATTGTGGGAAGAAATACAACAAGCTGTGGCTGGTGGGGGGATGGAGAGAAGGGAAAATAGAGGGAGGCGAACCATGTTTATTTCCTTCTGCTTTGCTATAAGGTAGGACTGTCTCAAGTCATTTTGCTGCCCCAAGTGGGTAGTATGGGAGGAGAGCCGCATGACATGATTTCTGGGTTTCAAGAGTCTGTAAAGCAGTTCCGTAGCCAGCTACAGGGTTGGCAACTCTGGGTTGGGAAATACCTGTAGATCTGAGGGGTAGAGCCGGGGGGGGGGGGGACCTCAGCAGGGTATAATGCCATAGAGCCCACTGCCCAAAGCAGCCCTTTTCTCCAGGAGAACTTATCTTGGAGATCTCAAGGTGCCATCTGGAGGTTGGCAATACTAAGGGGAGGGCCAGGTTTGTTGAAGGACTTCAGTGAGGTATTATATCATAGAGCTCACCCTTCAAAGCAACAATTTTCTCCATGAGGACCGATCTCTGTAGTCTGGAGATCAGTTGTAATTCAGAGAGATGTCCAGACCTTCCCTTTCCCCCCCCCAACCCCTTTTAATTCCAAAGATGCTTCCTGTTTAACACTGTAACTGATTAACAGTTTAATTGACTCCCTGCTAATGACCCATGGCCTCTTGGGACTCCCAACTTGGGAGCTGTAGTTCTAATTCGCTTTGCTATGGTTGTAGCAAGGCCAGCTGAGAACTACAACTTCCAAGGTGCAACGCATCGAAAATGTGGGTGTAAGAATGGAGCAGCCAGCGGGACGGGCCAAGGCAGCTTCCCCAGTGGCCAATGGGAGAGTAGGTGAGTCATTGCCAGCATGGCTTGCCTTTTATATACAGGATACCAGGATTGCCCAGTTACAGGTTATTCTTAAATACCAGCATAGGTTTTAAAACTGCTTCACTCATCTATACAGGATCTCACCCTTCTTTGATTTCCAAGAAACACCCTCCTCATTTTTAGATGGTCTCGGGCCCCTTAATCTACAACACTGCATTTCAGTAATGGCAGCACTGAGGGCATTTTGCGCTATTTATTTAGATGTCCTATAATTGTAATGATTGATACAAGCTTCTCCCCTGCAGTTAAAGGGCTGTAAACCATTGATCAAATGTGCAAAAGAATATTTCTCGTTTGCAAATGACAGCAAGTAGGATATACATTGCTGCCTTAGCAGTAGCTAAAAACAACTGCATTTTAGTCATGTTAATGTGCACTGTCTTTTAGCTTTGTAACCCATTTTCTACACTATGGTACATCATGCCTTATGAATTTTTTTTGTTCACATTGTTTTACAATTCTGTAATCCTAGTCCTACTGCATTGTTTACTGGATGTCTTGTCTACAGCTATCTGACCAAATTGTTTTTTACATTTTGTAATTCATCTTGTCTCTAGTTCCAGCTCCTGCCAACCTAGCAGTTCGAAAGCAAGAAATTGCAAGTAGATAAATAGGGACCACTTCGGTAGGAAGGTAACACCGTTCCGTGCGCCTTGGTGTTTAGTCATGCTGGCCACATGACCACGGAAACGTCTTCGGACAGCGCTGGCTCTTCGGCTTTGAAACGGAGATGAGCACCGCAACCCTAGAGTCGGATTCGACTGGCTTTCGAGCAAGGGAATCTTTACCTTTAATTCGTCTTGAGACTCATCAAGGAAGACAGGCTATACAAGTACTTGGATGGGAGACCTCCAAGGGATACCAGGGCCGGGATGCGGAGCCAGACAATAGCAAGCCACCTCTCTGAAACATCCAAGACCCACTAGGGGTCGCCAGAAGTCAACCATAACTTCCAGGCACACACAGACAAAATACCTGCCCCCCCCCCCAAAAAAAAGAAAGGTAGGCTATAAATGAAATAAGCTGTCAGTTGGACAAATGTCAAGTTGTCTGATGTGCAAAACTGCTCTGTGTTCTAAATCACTGCTCATGACTGTACTAGTTCAACTTTTAAAGCTGCGTTTATTTTGTAATTTCACTGTGGCCTATAGCTGAAACAACCCATTTCATTGAACTTGGATGAGACCAGGCATGTCACAATAGTAAGGAGTCACTCCTCTGTCAGCAAGACTGTATGCAAATAGCACAGCCTGGAAGAACACCCTCTCTTTGCTTGCCGTGTGACTTTGTCACTGGCAGAGAGCTTTTGACATAGATCAGCATTTCAAAATATGATCCTCAACCTGCAGTTAGAAGTGGCACAACTTAGTCTTGTGCTTCCTTGCCATCTTATGCCCCTGCATTTGCTTATTTCAAACAGTTTTATGCCACCTTTCCGCCTACCTTAGCCCACCCCACCCACCAATGGTAATCAAACACATTTGAACCAGCTTTAAAAATACACACAAACATAATTATGCATGTGTGAAGCTGCCCTTAATCTCCACACACAGAAGGCAATTTTTTCACGAATCATCTGTCTGTTACTCTACCCAACTTTAAAGTTTAAGTGCCCTCTTACTTCACTACTATTTTAATGCATACACGCACACTGTTTTGTACTTACTTGGATTTTCGCCATTTTCTTTCTTTCTGTGTTTATTCAGTTCCAGCTTTGCAGCTTTCAGAGCATCGTACTCCCTTCTCCTGCGTTCCTTCTCCTCTGCCTTTTCCCTCTTTCGCAGTTCCCGCTCTTGGGCCTCCCTTGCTCGTCGCTCTGCTTCACGTTTCTTCTCCAGTTCTAAGCATTGAAGCAAATGCAAGGTGTCCTCATTCATTCCAGAACCCTCCATCACATTACACTGACTTACGCGCCAACTGCAAATGAACCCAACTGCATGACAGACGATTCATCTGCAGGGCCATTTGGGAAGTAAAGAAATCTCACTAAGTAAATCCCTCAACCAATACTGATAGGATTAAATTATTTTATGGAAATATCACATGACATCAAAGCCTGGACAAAGAATTCTGACAATTTATATGTTTTTTGCCCTTCCCCTCCAAGGTGGTTAGGGTGTCCCTCACACAATCTCATCAAATGAAATAATAGGCTGAGAGTCAGTGACGGTCCCAAAGTTACCCAGTGTACTCTGCAGTCAACTGGGAATTTCTATACCTAAGGCCAGTACTTTAGCCAGTTGCCCTGACCTGGATAGCTCAGGCTAGCCTGATCTTGGAAGCTATGTAGACTCAGCCCTGGTTATCAGAGGTCATTTCGGGGGGGATCGCGGGGGATCGCAGTTCCCCCGGGTGAGGTGCAAGGGGGCGGGGGCACACGATGAAGCCCCGCCCCTTGCTTCCGGCCACCCCGCTTCCGGCCCTCATTCAGCCAGGAGGAGGCAGGAGAAGAGGGAGAGTAAGTTGCTTCCTCCCCGCCTCTCCCCACCCCTGCCTGCCTGGGGCCAGGGAGGGCCTTGGCGGGGCTTCCTCGCACTCCCGCTGGCCTTGCAGGTCCACCGCCGGGCCCCTGATGTCAGGGGGTGTGGCATATGCTAATGAGTTATGCTAATGAGTTCCCCTAGCTCTTTTTCTACGAAACTACCCCTGCTGGTTATTATTTGGATTTGAGACCACTGAGGGTTACTACACAGAGGGAGGCAGTGGCAAACTATCTCTGAATGTCTCCTGCTTTGAAAACCCTATGGGGGTCACCATAAGTTGACTGTGATGGCATTAAAAATCCATACTGTAGCTGGTATACCACACTGGCTTTGTATCAGTTGTATGCGTGTGAGAGAAAATGCCCATACAATACATATTTTCAGCCATATAAAATACACATGTGTAATTTATTTCAAAATGTCTACATTTCTATCAAAATAGTCAACAAGTCACACACAGAAACGAGAGTCAGTTTTTTCTGTGTAGGGTTGCACTCCCCTAAAGGAACAGGACTGTTGTATGTGTTTTGGGTGTGGGTGGGTGGGCTACTGTTAGATCCATGCCTGTAGATGGAGCATCAGGTTTTCTCTGTGGTAAATAGTGTCTGTAACTAACTTCAGTTGGTGAACCAGCTATGGCCTTTCGTTGAAAAGAGAGATTTCAACACGGTTATCCATGCTCCATTGACTAGATTAATGTCATTCCTTCTACATGGGACTACCTATGAAGACTAGCTGGAATGGTTCAGAATACAGCAGCAAGATTGTTAACTGATGCAGGGTTATATAGAACATAACCTGCTGGTTTAAAAAGAATTACACTGGTTGCCTGCTTGTTTCCCAGTGTAATGAAGTGCAAGTTCTTACCTATGTCTGGAAACAATGTTAATGACTGCTTACTTTCATACAAGGCTGCTCACTGGTTGCATCCGAAGCAAGGTGGATAGTAACCAGACACACACCCTTTTCTATGGTGGCATCTCAACCATGGAATGACCTCTCCATAGCAGTCTGCCTGGCGTCTAGCTTGTTAAGCTTCAGGCATGTTGTTTTTATTCTTCCAGATATTTGTGGATTGATTTGAAGCTGATTGTTGTATGCTTTGACGGACTGCACTTTCTATTTTTAAACCCAAATATTTCCAACCCAAAATTTCGCCCTCTTCATTTTTTGCTATTTTAATGGGAGGTTTTGCAGACAAGTGTCATTATTTTTGCCACTGTGTAATAGTTTATTATCATTTGTTCTTAAGTTTTTGTCTCATTCTGTTGGGAGCCACTTCACGCATGGTTTTGAGAGTGTGGCTAATAGTTTGAATAAAATAAAAAATACCCCAAACATGAAACCAACATTAAAAACATTTCAGTGTTTAAATAACAATTTAAGAGTAGAATTGTAGTCCCCTGCCCCCCATTCCACCATTGCTAAATGGTCATCTGAACAAACCCCATAATAACTTAATAACATAACATAATAGCTTTGTCCTGTAATTGTAAATGCCAGTGAGCTCCAAGTCTGAATTTCGCTACTTTATGCTAAATTTGCACACCGGAAGTCAGAGATGGGAGGAGCTGACAACCATTCCCGAGTGAACTACCAGTGCTGGAACATCCTTCCTTTTACAGACCAATGTGGCAAGATCTCCATTCTACCTCTCATCCATTTTGATGTATGCATTTTGAAGAGTCGATCTGGAACAGTAGTTTTCATGCCTCTAATGATGAAAGTGAGCTCTTATGTCACATAAATCAAAGATTATAAGCAGCCTACACACCAGAAAGTGAGCTGGATAACTAAAGTTTACCTCGCTCTGCCTGTAGCTTTCGTTGCCTCTCACGATCCAGCTCAGACTGGATAGACTTCATATACTGCAGAACCTTTGAGACCCAAAAACAACTTGCATGAGATTTGTTTTCTCACTGATGTTTTTAGCACAGAAACAAGAAGGGTAGCTGTAAGTGGCAACAGGAATTCAATTTTAACTCAGGAAACCCAAAACGTAACTGAGGAAAGATGTACTGAAGGAGAGTAAATTTGGCTAACTAGTCTTCAAGGAGAACTGTGTCTCCGGTTGCTTTCAGAAAATAAGGATGGGAAGACTAAGGGTTATATCTTGTCCAGCTCCTCAAGCTCACAAGGCAAGATCACCTTCCCATCTACAAGGAGCAATTCATGCAATCCAGAGCACAGTGCCCCACAAGCAGAGGACAAAAACATGGAGTGGTGCCTGCACAGCAAACAACTCCAGATGAATGAAGCAAGTGACCAAAGTCACACATTACAAAAAGGGGGAAAGCAAAACCCAGGCCTCCAGCCAATTTGTCCAGGAAAGAATTCCTTTCCAGGAAAGCTAACAATTCAGCTGGACCCTGAACATTAGCATGTAACTTTTTCATACATGGCTCTTCAATAAGGGACTTTATCCATACATTCCCCTATGTTTGCTCTTGAATCCTGAAGAGCAAACAAAGTTTAAAAAGAAAAGGCAGAACCAGCGGCAGCATTAATGAGGGTTAATGCTCATGCACACATCCTCAACATCCTTCTGAATGCAGAGTCAAGGACCAGTGGTAACCTACCCTTCTGGTCATCCTCATGCGGTCCGTAAATATATCAGCACCAAATTACTCTAGAATGACCTTTGAAGTGCCATTAGGTTAATTTGGAACATATATGAAAATTAATAAAATGCTGTACATATATACTGAATGCATCACTTTCTGTGTTTCATTAATTATAATATAATTATTGAGCATTAAGCCTTAGAGTACATTAGATAAAAACCCAAAAATAGTAAATCCCCCTCTGTCACTCAAACATGCTGGGGAAACCTGGGCCACTCGTTCTCTCCCCGAGTTTACTGATGGAAAGCTGGGATAAAAATGTCATATACACATCTTGCTTTTTAATCAAAAACTGATGGCTGGTAGAAATCGACTACAATTGACAAAGTGTCCGTCAGGGATTCTCAGCAGAGCTGAATTCAGAAATGATGGAAAGAGGCCTGGCTGCTTCCTGCCCTTCTCTGATGATAGCTGGAAAGTGTTCTCAGCTAGTGATAGCTGGAAAGTGTTCTCAGCTAGAATTCGAGTTCAGGCACAATGGAGGAGTACAAGCGGCTTCCTCAAGAAATAGCAGCTTTTATGGAGGACAAAGGGCAGCATCTAAATAAAGACAAAATGCAAACAAGTTTAACTTACCCTAACAGCAGCCTGCTTACACTGCTTTTCATCCAAGCAATCTCCAGCTACCTTAGCCAGTGAGGGGTCCAGTGGGTTGTCCTTCAGATCCAGCCACTTCAGGTTCTGTTGAACAGGACCAAACATGGGACCTGAACAGGTCAGTGGCTAATATTCTCCACGTTTTCATTCCTTGAAACTATTACTTATCCTATTAAAGGTAAAGGTTCCCTTGCTCGAAAGCCAGTCGAATCCGACTCTAGGGTTGCGGTGCTCATCTCCGTTTCAAAGCCGAAGAGCCAGCGCTGTCCGAAGACATTTCCGTGGTCATGTGCCCGGCATGACTAAACACCAAGGCGCACGGAACACTGTTACCTTCCCACTGAAGCGGTACCTATTTATCTACTTGCAATTTCTTGCTTTCGAACTGCTAGGTTGGCAGAAGCTGGAACTAGAGATGGGAGCTCACTCCGTCCTGTGGCACACTTGGGTCTCGAACTGCTGAACTACTGACCTTCCACAGCCTGCAGTTCAACATCTTAACCACTTGAGCCACCGCAGCTCCACTTATCCACTTATTAAAAAAAAAAAAAACTTATCCTATTACTACTACTCAAAAGGCCCTAGATTCTGAGCAAACTTGAGAAACATAGCCACATTAGAGACACTATCTCACAGACCAGGCTTAACCCCTTATTTCTGCAGTCTTCTAGACAATTCTCATGCAGTGAGACAAACAACTGCTTCTGAGGCTTTAGTTCTACTATGGAGGCAGCAGATAAGTCATGTGCTACTAAGCACATGCCTGCTAGGGAGCTGGTTAGCCCATCAGCAAGATGAATAATTACCCAAGCTTTTGGTGTGGAATGCAACAGCTGCAGGTAGCAGAACTTTTAAAAAGTAGCACCACACTTCAAAGAGCTACAATTATTGTGAGATGAAAAGAATGTCAGTAACAGAACCACCGCAAAAGACAAAGTGGGGGGACTTAACCCAAAAATAATTGAATTAAGAACCAAAAAGTTAAGGACATCAGAATATAAGCACCCAATAATTCTATGTATAAGCTTAAAGCATAAATATTACCAAATATACAAAAATATACATATTTATTGTAAATTCAATAAAAACAAAAACAGGCCCAAGTAATAGCCTCAATTCAGAATAAAATTACACATTAATCTCAAAGACAGACCATGTTTTGGCCAATTGGCCTTCCTCAGTGGTCAAACAATATTGTTACAGAATGGCTCCAGACACTGCAATAGTACAGACATTTCTTAGACCAAGGTGAGATTGCTTTATAATCATAATCTGTGACCTAAGGCAGAGATATTAATCAGAGGCCCCAGTGCACTTCAAAGAGCTACAATTATTGTGAGAGGAAAGGAATGTCAGTAACAGAACCACAAAAGAGAGACCAAGAGTCTCCAACCTTTTTGAGCCTGTGGGCAGCTTTGGAATTCTGACACGGGGTGATGGGAGCAGCCACCAAATGGCTGCCACAGGAAGCAGAGCCACACATGCAGAGGAAGCCAAAGTGCAAGGGGAGAAGAGGGCAATAAAAAAAAAACACTATTGGGAAAGAGAAGTGAGACAGAATACAAACGACATTGTGGTGGCAGAGCTGCTGCTGCTGAAACAGTGTTATTTTTATCTGCAGAGCCAATCAGATCTCAAGCGGCCACTCAGGGGCCCTTGCTGGGCAAGAGGAGTGCTCCCCTCATTTCCTAAAAATAGTTGGTGGGTGCCAGAAATGTGGTTGTTGGGTACCATGATGCCCGTGGAAGCCATGCTGGGGACCTGTGATACAGACATTTATACCAATGCCAGACTTTCATGTAGCAGTTCCTCTGAGAAGCAGTAATGAATGAAAAGTGTGGTAGAAATATAACAGTAGTAAACTGATTGTCTGAAACATTTACTCAGAAATTATTCCGTTTTTTAGTGAGTGTGGAAACAGAATTTGGAAGGGAACAGTCCCCAGTGCAAATAATGAATTTAAGAAGAAAGGGCTACCTGACCAATCTTATGAAAGCAACTCCCCTGCCCAAGAAGATGTGTTTACTAGCTATCTCTATTGATAAGGCTACATAAATTACAACAGAGTTCACAATAATTAATCTTAAAGAATCAACCCATTAAAAAGTCTAGTCTCCTCACACAGAGAAATAGGGACAGGAAATTAATTGAGTTAGTGAGGTTTCTCAAGGGCTGCTATAAATGTTTGCTAGAATGTGAACTTCTACCCACATTTGCCAGGAAAACCAATTTTCACTAGAGAAATAAACAATGGAATGATTTTGAGTATGCTCTGGGCTGAAATCCAAGACCAGACTTCATTGGGGGGGGGGGTGAGTGAGAGAATTACCTTGAGTTGTGCAAAACTGACTGGCAAGGTAACTAATCGATTGTTCAGAAGGTCCAGGTGTTGCAAGTTAACCAAACGACCAAAGTCCAAAGGCAGCTGTTGAAGCTGATTTTTACTCAGGTCCAATTTCACCAAGTGGGTCAAACTGCAGAAGTCTGACTGGAACCCAAATACAAGTGAAAAAAGAGTTCAATGACCATCTTATCTAAAAGCTGAGACATACAGAAACGTGAGCTGTGGAAGACAGAGTAGAAAACACAAAAAAAGACCCATACATCCTGGTCACTCTCTCCCAGTTGTTTTTTTTTTTAACCTCCAACATTCCTCCAAGCATCTCAGGTCATGGTTCTCCTATGCCCTATCGTATTCTTAAAACAACCTTGTGAAGTAGATTAGGGTGAGAGATGATGACTAGCCCAAGGCCACCAACAATGCTATCCTAAGCAGAGTTTTACCCTTCTAGGCCCATTGCTGCTGATGGGCTTAGAAGACCGTAACTATGTTCAGGTTGGCACTACCAAGCTTTGTGACAAAGCAGGAATCTGAATCCAGAGCTCACCAGTCTATCCCAACCATTATATAAGACATTATAGAACCATTATATAAGACAGGCTCTTCCTATTGTGACTTCCCTCATACTAGGAGTACAAACAGAAAAATATGCAACACACAGAGCTTCCTTTAATCATACAAAAATAATCATAGGTCCTGTAGTTCACTAAAAGGGTTGACATTCTAGTTCCAGAAACTTTGACCCCAATGTTTCTCCCCGATTTAGTCCCTTAAGATCACTAACTTCCAACATCCTCCACTGGCACATTTGTAATCTCTCACAACTGTAGCTGTCCATCCACTTTGAGTTTAAAGGACCTGCCATCAACAGGTGGCATGTACACATTCGTTCTCCAAAAAAAGTTAGGTGTATTTTACCTACTCCTCACCATATACCACTGATCAACATTAAGACCATAGGAAAAGCATGAGAATTACAGCTACCAGTATTAGTACATGCCCACGCTGAGTAGGCTTTACTTAACTGATTTCTATATTGAAAGACTGTTAAAAGGGTAAGGTTATGACTTACTGGTAAAGAGGTGAGGTTGTTACAGGACAGGTCCAAAACAGTAGCCTTTGGAAGCCCTGCCTGAAAGAGAACCAAAGAGCCAAATTAATTCTGTCAGCTGGCTACAGGACTCCATAAAGACTAAAATAAAGGCAAAAAGCCCCTCAGTGATGCAGTTTCAAGTTCAAGTTAGCCTTTATTGGCATAAATTGTTGATACAGAATATACCATTTAAGAGCAAAATAAAAACATGACCCACAGGTACATTTGTCTCTAGAATCCTTTGGCGTAGCTTTAAAGCAGAGTGGAGTAACTCGGCCACCTTCTCGGTGATGTCAGAGGAGAAGTCATTCAGAAGTCTGTATCTGGAGCGCATCAGAGCAGTCCATCATACTGCTTAAAATAGAATGTAAATATATAGATCCACATACAGGTGACAATGCAAAAGAACATGAGTAATTGACTCATTTTCATTTGCAAGGGCAATGTCTGGCTGAACGAGGTACCTTGTTAAATCTGCCATGTAAATGGCTGAAGGCATAGCGTTATATCAGGCCAGAGTAAACACTCTATGTTGTTGTTGAACCTGCAGGGAAGATAAATGTGAAGCCATCTTCCCTGTAGTAAGAGGTATTTCGAAACTCAAAGGGAAGCAGATTTTATTGGCTAAACTGTATAACCTCTGGCAGTAAATGTCTAACACCCTGTTTTTAATCTGTTGAAATGCAGCAGCGGAGGGCAACATAGACCCAATACTTTGATTTTTTTTGGCAATGTGTGCTGACCAATTTGACACATTGAGCTCAGAGAGCATGTGGTATATGAAGCTCCCAGATTCAAAATTATATTGTATGCGTAGCCAGTATTTGAATGTCATAAGCCATGCACAAGTTTCCATTAAAGACCGACCTGTTTCTAGATATATAACTGCATTTGAAACACATTTGGGCCAGCCCAGAATTTTCCGCAGGAATTTAGATTGGACATGCTCAATGGCACAGTCAAAGGACCCTATCCAAATCAGAATACCATACAGTAATTGTGAGATCACTTTGGACATAAAATGTTATTGCAGCCAGCACAAATTGGTTGCCTCTGCAGTAAAAGAACCCTGGTATAGCCGATCCACTAGTGCTAGCTGCCTTCACTGCATGTTTGCAGTGGATAGTGGTGGATAGACTAGGTTACATTGTACTGAAAGTAAATTCCTAGATATTTGAAGTATTTAACTTGTTCTGTCTCTTTGTGATTGAAAGCCCATTTATTTGATCTCCACTTTTTAGAGAACACTAGGATTTTTGACTTGTCATAGTTCAGCTGGAGCTTATTACTGGTGAAAAAAGCAATACAGCGAGTCAACAGATGTCTTAAACCAACTCTGTATCATTGGCATAAAGTAGTACAGGTACATGTGTTGCACCAAGTTTTGGACTATGACAGTCAGCACCAAATAGCTGGGCAGCAAGGACACTGAGGAAAATGTTAAATAAAAAGGAAGCTAAAATGCCACCCTGTTTAACGCCCTTGTTTGCAGCAATCTTCGGTGTCAGGCTGCCTGCTACAGTGAACATTTGATCTGACAAGTATTGAAAGTGTAACAATTCTTAATGAGCAAAAGAAGTCTCTTGTTCATATTCAGCCGATCTAAATTAATCCAAAGAAGGTCCCTGTCAACGGAATCGAATGCACGTTTCAAATCCAGGAAAGCCACGTATAATTTCTGGTTATTCCACACAGTGTAATCAACTAAATGAGATAAAGTGGTCTTTCCTTTGCAAAAACCCAGCTGTTCAGAGCCAAGAATTTTTTCCTGTGTCATCCAAAGATTAAGCTTGATGAAAAGATGCTTAGCATATAATTTAACAATAATGGATAGTAGGCCAATCGGCCTATAATTGGCAGGGTTAGTATGATCACCTTTTGTATATAACAGAACCACTATTGCATTCAACCAGCCAAAGGGCTTATGCCTGTTCTATCTACCATTGTAAATAGAGATGCAAGGAGAGGGGCCCACCAGTTTTTAGAGTTCTTTACTTGCCACAACATAGATAAAACTTTTTCAAGCAGCTTCCTATTTTAAATAGCCAACAAATCGTATTTTACAGATGCTGATTATTATCACAAACCTTCCCATTTATGCCAATTCTGTGTTTCAACTGTGTTCTTTTGAAAGCTGGCTGCCTAAGCTAAACAAATCTTTCTGGTCATCATCCACTCCAGAAAGAGAATTTGTTAACTACTATTTGCTTACAGGGATCAAGAGAAAAGGCACCCAGCAGCAGCACTCACACTATTTAGGCTGGGATTCCTATTCATTATAGTTATATTACAGTTACCTGTACATACCTTGGAAACAAGGTGGCAAACCAACCTACCTTTATGCCAATTCTGTTCCCTGAAATCTACAGATGATGCAAATTTCAAGGCTGTTTTTGTCTTCTTGTGAGAAGAAATACATATTCTCAAACAGACACACTTATGGTTTAAGCTTGTTTTACAAGTAAATCTAAAATTGTAACAGCAAAATTAACCAATTTCTCAATATGTATTCAAAATCTTACTAGAGCCATTACATTCACAGAGACTGCACAGATTCCTACAATCCCTTGACATGTATTACTATCCGTAGGAAACTAGATACCAACCAGCTCTTTAACTGGCACCTCATTCAAGTCACACAAACTTAAGTCCAACTCATTGCCTTCCAGTTTGTCCTTCAGAGTCACTCCTTTTGCTCCAAATTTTGCCATGATGTTCAACGAAGCAGATTTTGTCCAAGCAGCCTGGCAAACACTTGTGTTCCTGAGGAGGCAGAAAGATTAAAGGTGTACTCCTACTAAACATGAACTCCTTATACTCACTTCTGAGTCAACATGCCTAAGAGCTCACTGTACAAGGGTGGCAGCATCATGAAGCAATGCGCCTGCTTCTCACTAGCAAAAAACCTCCAGATCAGAATTATTTTTAACTGCCATGTTAGCAATAGAATTTTTGAGCTATTGGTACAACAACAGAATCCTTGAACTGTCCACTCTCCAACCCAGCTTATGGTGGAAGTACTGTGTCCCAGGGAAAACATTTGGTCACCATGGCCCTTGGACTGTTGCCAAGACTGCTGAAGTTCACACTAGTCGTACAGGAGGATTTTGTAACATAACAGCCTACCACCTATTTACAAAGGATATCAGGAACCCTGGACAAATCCATTTCCTATAGTCTCCAGCTTTTAGGATGCCGCTACCGCAGCATAAATGCATTCAGTGCCTGGGAGAGTGAAGAAACATCCCTCTCTCTCCCCATCACAACAGCAGCAACTGCGGCTGCTGTCACCAAATAAGAGAGTTTGGGGCCCTATGGAGGAGAAATAAATTATGCACAAATTTACAATTTTTCATATACAATTATGCACAAATTGACAGGTTTTCCAGACATTCTCTAACACTTCTTGAAATTGCTTGCCTCATTCTAAATCAAGCATGCTTCAATCTGCCTATCAGTATCAATTTCCTGGAACTGTCCTTCAGATATCTAGCAATATGCCTCACTGGGAGCAATATAGCGTGTCACTGCATCCTGCAGCAAAAGCCAAATCACCCAATGTCAAGGTGATGGCCAAAGTTTGTCTTTCTCACCACAGTCTTATCCTGAAGCTCAGGAATTTACTTTCCCCCAACGAATGAACTAGTTACATACGAAACAGCAAAGAAGTCTATTTGGGGACATCTAACCTGCTCCTACTGACATTAACGATTTCTGCCATGGGGAATTGAGCATTCATGTCTATGGATTCCTGTCACAGGTCATTCATGAGTGTAACAAAATGCTGGAATAAAATTAGCAATTTTTTTGGTTTGTTTTTAGAACATACACGTTCACTGTCTGCCTAAAGAGTAACAACATCTCACTTTTTCTTCCCTAACAGGCTCTGTGCCTTTAACAAGGGTGTGATATGCAGAAATTCAACAGGTGACACTTTCTCCGTCATTAGCCACTCTAGTGGGGAAATCTGCACCTTTTGGAAGTCCTGCCAGTCGACACGCTGTTAAAAGACTATGTTAGGGAAGAACCCACCCGGAGTGGTTTAGAATTCTCAAGTTTTCTCTGAGGCAGGTTAGTTTTTATTGTATAATGGCCAGCCCGTGTGTCGGCGCAAAGCAGAAATTTGGAAGGTTGGCTCCCCTCGCCTTGTCCTTCGGCAATCTCTGGCAGCTATCACCGCACACGTGGCAACCACGTCTTCCTCCACGCCCAGGAACTCCAAAAATCCCCTGGCAGGAGGGTCACGTCAAGCGCCCAGGGAGGCTCCTCCCAGCCGCACACTCCTGCCAAGCAGCAGCACCTGACACTACCAGCCCCACCCGCCTTGAGCAGCCCTGACTCGAGCAGCTTTCCGGGAGAGGGAAGAAAAGCAAGGCTGGTGGGCACAGGCACGCAGCCGCTTCCCTGCTGGGGATCTGGGTAGGCGCGAAGAATGCAGCCCCGAAACAAAGCGCGTCTCCCGGTTAGGAGAGGAGGCGGCTGCTGTCACCAGCACCACACTCACCTTGCCCACTCGCCGTCCAATGCCAGCCACTTCCGCGCCCGCCTCCTCTCGGAGTCTTCTTCTCGGCCAGGTCAGAGAGGAACAACGAAGAACTGCGTACTAGCAAGAGCGGCTCGGAAGTGGCGGGGAAAGGACCAGACATCGCCCTCTGGAGGTGGTGGTGGTTCAAAGCGGACTAGGAGGTCTTTTTGGCGGACGGGTAGGAAAGATAAGAAAAGGACGCATGTTAAGTCCCTGGAAGCGCGCGGGGTGGGGGTACTGTGTCGTGCCTACTGATTTAGCAGTGTGCCAGCATAAACGTTTTAAGCTTCCACTTTATGGAATGTGTAAGCGGGGATGAGGCAGACAAGGAGAAAAGGTCTATGCATGTCATTGTGGGGACTGGGTTCAGTGTGTGTGTGTTGGAGGGGAATAGAAGTTTTTCCAAATTCCCAGTTATCTGTTTATTCGGTATATCACCAGCCCAATTACAGACAATACAAAAAAGGGTAACAATTATATATATATATATATAATATTTAAATATAAAACTGTGTTTAATCTGCATATGTTAATTTCAAAATTACTAAAACTCTAAATTTCTACAATACTCTTATCAGGAGTAGAAGTTTGTGACCTTGAAACTTCAGGATTATGTGGGCAAGCAAAAGATAAAAGTTTGACCCAATCAGTACATTCTGCCCCTCAGAAAATGCCTATGCTCTTTTGCCACCACACTTTAGCAAAATATAGAAAGGCCCTCAGTGTGAGTGCCCCTTCTGAGGAGAAAAAAGTTGTAAAGGGCACCAGATTTGCAAATGTTAACAGCTGGATGCATCTGTTTTTTAAATCATTTTTTTTAAAAATTCAGAGCACAAAAATTATCTTCCTCACGGTCTAAAGTTTTAGACCACGCAAGCCTGCATAGACTTTAATGTGCTTAAACAGGTATTGATTGTCTACTGAAATCAATCAACTGTAAAGCATGCTTATCTAAATTACATTGAAAGATTAGTGTGTATGACAGAAACAAAACAATGTATGATGCGGCTTACCTCTCATCCAGCCTCTGATTTTGTAAGCATTTCTCTTTCTATCTTGTTGACTAAGACCAGTTTCTCTCTACCAGTCACATGAGGCCCAGAATTGAGTTTTGGGCCACCTCCAAGGCAAAAGCGGAGAGCTGCAGAGGGCAGAATCAGGCATAACCCCACATATCCTGTTCACACTAACTGGGATCAACAGTAGCATAAGGGAGACATACATTTCTCTGTCCCTTTATATAGACTTCTTTTCCACATGCAGATTCTTAGCATTGTTTCCCTGATGATGGGCTCTGTTGCTAAAAAATACACTGGAAACATTCATGGTTGAAAAAGTCTTTCTCCTCAGTTAAGGAATAATGGCCTGACATCTTCCCTGCAGACGACAGATCAAGTGATGGTGATTATGCCCTGGAAAAATACAACCAGTTGTCATGTAATGGTATATAAATAAATGAACAACTGATTTTAATAAATCTGTTATCTAATGATGAGAGTGCACATAAAGAAAACCATCAAAAGACAACCTTAAATCCATGTTGAAGCTTGAAATCTTGTAAGCTGATTCTGTCCATATTCACTCCATAGTAAATCCCACTGGGTTTAATGGAACACTCTTAAGCAAGCACACACTGATTTTGTAGCCCTAAAACTGAACATTTTCCTTTAAGGTGGCTTTGGGCCATATATCCTGGCAGCCCACTTCACATCTCTATCTTAAGGAGATAGATTTGGCAGAAGCATCAAACCTTGTGGGACAAAGGTGCTTACCACACAGATGTTCTAGTTATAAAAGTGCTAATTGCCTCAATATATTCTCATAACAATAGAGAACAAAGTACAGATGACATTTAAACTGTAGATTGAAAGTGAGCTTCAGAAACATGGTATCTGCAGGATCAGCACATGCAAGTATCATTGGCAGGGAACCTGAAGGGGAAAATGCCCTGTCTCTTTAATAGAAGTTTAACAGGGTGTTACTTTCCAGGATATATTTATCCCTATGTAGAGTTGCCACCCTCCAGGTGATGTCTGGAGACCTTCCAGCATTATAACTATCACCAGCCTGCAGAGATCAGTTCTCCTGGGGTTGCTTCAAAGAGTCGATTCTGTGGATACTTCCGCCTTGCCTCTGCCTTGCCTTGTGCTGGACTCCATTGAGCCAGGGGAACTGAATCACCTTGCATGAGGCTCAGCTGGGCCAGGTGTCACTGTCTGCCTTGCCTCATGTGAGGCTTGTCCCAGGTGCTGCCATTTGCATTGCCTAACACAGGGCTTAGCCAGGCTGGGTGTCAGTGTCTGGCTTACCTCACCCAGGCTGAGTCAGGGGTTGCCACCTCCCCTGTCTTGCATTGCACATAGGCCTGGCAGACCAGGCTCTGTCTCTCCTACCTCACTTTAGGTTGGTTGGGCTCCACTTCTCCTGCCTTGTGCATGTTGGAAAAGGCAATGCCTGGTGTTCAGAGAAGAAGACCAGGAAGGGGGCAGCAAGAAGACAATTAGATAGGCTAGTGAGGACAGTACCTTCTGTCTCCTGTTAAGTGTCATTCCTTGTCTGTCTCCAGTTTGCTACTCTTAGGGCAATTCCCCCCTTCTTCTCAGAAGTGCCACACTTCAGTCTCTCTCCCTTTCTGTCTCCTTGTTGTGTCCGCTGACCTGCACAGGGCCAGCGATTACCCCAGAGCTTGACTCTGGGAGAACAATAGGGACTAGGCTCCTAGTCCCTCCACTAGGGGAGCCAATGGGAACCGTGGCGGGAGATTCAAACCCACCAACGGGACCCAGGGGTGTGTCCCCAGGGGTGTATATAGTTGGCCAGCCGGCCGTTGGTCTCTTGTCTTGTTGTGTGCCAATAAAGTGTGCTATGCACTATGCCAGTCTTTGTCTTTCGTCCATGCGGCAAACCCACTACACAACACTCCTCTTTCCTATCAAGTATGTTAATTCCTAAATAAACCTTTATCTACCTTTTAATTAGGTTGTGCACCATTGCTGTGCAGGATTTGGGTGGGTCAGGGTCAGCCTTTCTGTTAGAGAATTGGCTGGCCTAGGTGGAGGGACAGGCCTTCACCCCACTAGGAGGTATCCAGGTGCTCTTAAAGGCTTTTCTTCCCACCTGTGAGGTTAATTAGGCTGAGAATGGGGAACTGGCCCAAGGTCACCCTATGAGTATCTGCAGCAGAATGGGAATTCGAGGTTCTAGTGTGAAACTCTTAACACTGCACAAGCCTGGCATTCATGCGGGGGCTGCTGTTGGTCAGTAGCAAGCAGCCAGGCTTAAGTAAATCATGCAAGCTGGGTGACAGCAAGTCACCCAGTGGCTGCCTGTTATGTACTGGGATTGAATCATCCCTGATTGAATCACCCCAGAGATTGGCTGAGCTTGGAGCACAAGAACAATAGCTGACCAGGACTCTGGAATAAACCAATTAAGTAGCAGTGTTATGTAAATAGCCTATCACTGGGAGTGGAGTGTGTTTGGGTGTGGCAATTGCATGCTATTTAACAGAGCTGAGGCTCTGGAGTCTTGTAGTTTTGCTGAAATCACTGAATAAACCTGAGCTGCTCACTGCCATGCATCTAGAACCCTGTATTTAATACTGGCAACGAGGATGGGATCATGTTGAGCCAGCCCAGCGGCCAGCGCCCACCAGCACCGCACCACGTACTGAGCTCCAGTGCCATGCGCATCACATTGCTCCCAGGACCATGGCTGCTACTCCAGGACACTTTGACGCATTCGACACCACCATAGAACACTAGAAGTCTTACATTGCCCAGTTCGAGTTCTTCCTTGAGTCCTCTATTTATTTATTTATTTAATTCCACTTATACCCCGCCCTCCCCGCGTACGGGCTTTGAGGATTGAGGTGGCAGCAAAGAAGCACACCACCTTCTTCCTCGTCTGCAGCTGCTCAACATTCGAAGTCGCCTGCTCGCTTATCGCTCCTGCGGAGCTTAAGGGCACCGATTATAGCACAATTTTGGACTGGATAAAGGGACACTTCTCTCCAAAACCGTCCGTCATCACTGCCCGCCACGCGTTCCACACAAGGAACCAGGCCACAAACGAATCCATCACAGCCTTTGTTACAGCTCTCCGACGGATCACCTGGCACTGCATCTTCCATGACCTCGAGGATGCACTTCACGACCGGCTGGTCTATGGCCTGAAGGATGAGTGGATTCAAAGAAAGCTCCTCGCCAGGGGTGACCCCAATTTCAAGGAGGCCATGGAAGTGGCCCTCGCTGCGGAGGCTGCTGAGCAGTTCACCGCTGAGGTCTGGCAAATGAAAAGTCCGCCATCTTCGCAGAGGCCTACCACTGCAGCCCACCACATGGAAACATCTGAGAAGGAAGAAGAGGAGGTCCTGCAACTCCAGTGCCCGACACGCTGCAATGCTTGCCTGTCTGCACCGCTATGTACCATTGACACCACCACATCAACAACATGCACCAACTGCAGGGAACCCCACAAATGGAGGTCCTGCTGGTTCCGGGACACCACGTGCAGGAACTGCGGAAAGGTCGGCCACATCGCCCAAGCCTGCCGTGCCAAGGAAAACCAGAGGTGACCTGCAGCAAGACTGGCCTCTACAGGTAACTGACATATCCCGGCCCATTGCAAAGGACTGTGTCCTCTCCTGTGTTTTGGACTGGGTGGGGAGGGGCTGGCCCACCATCCGGGTGAGCCCAGAATTTGCAGCATTCTTCTCCCTCCGGGATGAGTTATCAGCCCACAAGGGTTGCCTGCTGTGGGGGAGCTGGGTGGTGGTGCCTGCTCCTTTGTGCCAGCAAGTGCTATCGGCTCTGCACGAGACGCATCCCGGAATCATGCAGATGAAAGCGCTGGCCCGCAGCTACATGTGGTGGCTAGGCATGGACGGGGAAATACAGGCCTGTGTCAAGCACTGCCAGGCCTTTCAAGAAACTCGACTGGAGCCTCCCAGGGCACCAGTGCAGCAGTGGGAATCCACCCACAAACCATGGTCCCGGCT